TTAAGCCGCGTCGTTAAAGCCACTATTTCGAATCCAATAGGAAAGGATGGATCGGGATAAGAGTGAGAGGTCTTGTTGTTAGGTGAGCCAATGTGCTGCTTCACGGAGCAATTAGTGTCGGCAGGAATGTTCCTGGGGACCCCAAACTTTGTTCTTGTGGATATACTTGAGGCGGCAGACGCTTTCTGCATCATACAAATATTATATTGTAGGGAACGTACGTGTTGCGTTTGCATTCGTTGATACTGCGCTCACGACCTTTTCCTGGTGGGTAGAATTCAGTCGGGATTGGTATGAAGGGTAAGGGGATGAGGAGATCCAGCGGAGTCCGCTCCATACTCCCACTTTGTTGATCCGAATGACCCAAACTTCCATTCGTTGATCCAAATTCGTTCCTTGGATTGTAATATCCCTACGAACGCCTTATTTAATGCTGACTTCCTTGGAGTTGGATGAGACACAGAGAAGGTCCCAGAAGAACAATCTCCGGTGTCAGTGCCACTCCTTCCTCCTACATATATTAATACTCGTCTTTCCACGTCGTTCTGTCATCACTGATGATCTTATTCATTTTACACACTGTTAATTTACAGCGACATGTACGCTCGAGAAATTTTAGCTCGAAATGGAGGAGAACCTTACCTTCCTTCAGGATTTAGATTTAACCCCACCGATGAAGAGCTCATCACTTGCTATTTGACCCGCAAGGTAACAGATATGGGGTTTGTGGCCAGAAACAATGCTGATGACGATCTTAATAAGTGCGAGCCGTGGGATCTGCCGGGTACTCACTCATGATTTTCTCATTCATGCACTCTGTTGTTCTTTAAGATTAATCCTAGCTTTTAATTTCTTCTCCGAATCATTTCGACTCCATGACAGACTCATGCGTAGTAAGGAAATTACTGCGTACTCGGTGTTTTGCTGATGTCCTCTGCAGGGAAGGCCAGGGCGTGGGGAGAAAGAGTGAGTGTTACTTCTTCAGCATGAAGGATCGCAAGAACCTGACGGGGCTGCGGACCAATCGAGACACGGATTCCGGCTACTGGAAGGCCACCGGGAAAGACAAAGAGATATTTCGCCGTGGAGTGTCGGTTGGCATGAAAAAGACCTTGGTGTTCTACAAAGGACGGGCTCCCAGGGGTGAGAAGACCAACTGGGTGATGCACGAATATAGGCTCCAAAGCGAGTTCCCCCACTGATCTACAAAGGTCACTAGGCAATCAACGCACCACCACATCGCAACGGTCTCATGTTCCTCGTGAGTCGACTAACTGGTATCTTCTTCGCAGGATGAAAGAGTGATGTGTGGGGTGTTCAGGAAGAGCTGCACCGGCAAAAAGCCACGTATGCATCCACTGATGGAATCCGCATGCAACGGAACTGCCCCACTCAGCGAGCTAGGAGGCCTTGGCGCATCCATCTTAAACGATCTCATCAACACCTCAAGCTCTCATTACGCTTCGCAAGCTAATGATCAGATCCACATCGATCACAAGGCGGATTTGTCCACGAATTGGTTCTTGTCCGGATCAGAGGCCACCAGCCAACCTTTGCTCCCATGCTTTTCGGGGATCATAGGCTCTGCGGCGTTCTCACCAAGCCCAGCTATTCCGAGGACTTTGCCGCTGATCAATGGCAATCATCCGCGACGGGTAGCTGATTTGAACTCTTGCATAGCGTACTTCATTAGGAATCGAAATCCAAGTTGAGTTTCACTGCCTCTTCCAACTAAGTGGCGAATGATGGGATATAAACAGGAATAACCTTTGTATATGAACAAATATTAGAAGACCATAATACGCAGCGGAATTAAATGGAATTATAATCAAATAGAACACCAAGATATACGTGAAAAACTCCTTCAATGTGAAGGGTAAAAATCACGGGACAAACGAGAGATAATCCACTATGAGAATAATGAATATACAAATCTCAATTTGTTACCCTAAACCCTAGCAACAATCACAAGAGAATAACTAGAATATAAGGTTCACGTCACTGCCTACAATATCTAAAACCTCCCCAAGTAATCTGTTGTCCTTGTCTTCTTCCCTTTCTTTCTCTTTCTTTTCTGCCTTGTTTTTCTCCTTTTTTTTGAAATCCCGTGGCTATGTTCTTCTTCCACGTTGCTACCCTATTTATACCTTTTTCTATTTTCAAAACGTAGCCACCACACCCCCTTAATGTTAATTAGGGTTAGATTAAGAAGGGGTGAGCTGTGGGCTGCCCAAGCCCACTATGAGCTGAATTTGTGAGCTGTTAGTGGAGGGTGCATAGGAACTAGATGGCGAGGAATTGTTCGAAGAAAAACTATATTAACCATCAAGATTCAAGAGCCCCTTGACATAAGATTGGTTGGAGTCACTGGCAGGAAACAAGTGTAAAAAAATGTGCCACTCTCGAAGAACCAAAGCTACTGTAACCTCATTTTCCTTTTCTAATAGCTCATGTATGCGGTATTGGTTTCAAGGTGCAAGTGTGGCAATCGTAATTACCCGCTTCGCAATTGATATATCGATGGCAACGTAAGCTCGAAGCTGGCATCGATCTGTGCATCGTTTAGGGCGTCTAAGTTTGACTGAAATGTAGTTTCTGCTCTCTGTCAACGTACACATAGATATTGTATTTTGCATACAAATAATAAAGGAGGGGGAAAAAGGAGGTTGGACAGAAGAAGTTGAACACGTAATCAACGCCAGCTTGAATACCCCGAAGTCGCTAATTTATGGGGGGAAGAAATGTGACTGTCGGATGCATCCGATACGAGATCAATCGAACTAATCGATATATTACAGCAGCAATCCATGATCAAGAAGTAATATGAAATTTGAGTCCGGAACGGCAGCGACCAGCACCCAGAAATGAGACAAAGAAAAACAAGGTTTGTCTAACTATATATGAGCTTTCAGGACGATTACATAACACAACCGTGGTCGGCTTCAACTCAGAGCTGAAATGCTAAACCCACACAGCTCGTTACGCGACCATTGGGGAGCCAAACCTTTGGCACGATCGAGGTCAATCATAGTTATCCCGGAACAAGTCTTGATCATGTTTAACACCTTACGATCGTACGGTTTAGGTGCCTCCTCCTTGGACGAAACACCGGCGCGCAGCACAGCTGGGGAGGGAGTCAAAACCCTTGGGCTCAAGATGAACATGCCGTACAGGCCAGCTACGTGCGACGTGGTAATAATAGTCGTACTGGTAGTACACGGCCTGACTGGGAGGGAAAAGCTCATTTGGACGTACTGGTTTTCCCCTAAATTTGCATGCATTTAGACGTGTGCCTGATGCTCTCTTGGCGACACAACGATGCCTCGGCCGAACACGGGAGGTTCCAGAATGCTCAGGTGATTGGATTCGGTGCGACCCACGGCTGGGAACCAATGAATGAGGGAGGTGGCCATCTCGTGCTTCATCTCAGCCGCAGTAGATTCGTCGTAGGGAGTATATAATAAATGGGAAGACAATTTTGATGGAGATCGATGGATCCATCAATCTCGGAACATAAAAGGATCTCATCGCAAGTGGAGTTCGTTGAAAACAATGAACTTGGCGTATGATTCGACCATTTACGGTAAATTGAAAACAACATGGTATCGGGGGACATCCATCGCATGTTTCATGTCTATTCCAATACATCCGTTTGCCTTTAAGAGAATCCTTAGGATACGAATCTTGGCACCTTAATTTGATTTCTCCTGTTAACAGATCATGGACAAGGAAATGCACCGAGGTTTTACGTCGTCGGTGCATTCCCCCTTGGGCGACACACGCTACATGCCTAATATTCCTCTTCTTTATTGGACAGACATGACAAAGTTTGCTTTCTCCTCTTTAAAGGCCCGAGAGGGAGGGGAGGTTCTTTTGGGGTCCAACATATTATTGTGAACTTATGCAGCGCGAGGAACAACGATGATTTCGCTTCTAATAGAGCCACTCGATGAATAATTTAAGATGACACCACCATGTCCTCAAAGAAATAGGCCTCCGATTTGGTTCGCACCATGGACAGAATCGGATCTACCAACTCAATTACGGTCACAGAAAAGCTTAATAGTAACCCTCCCCTACTGGGAAGAGAAATAATAATATTAACAAAAATAACAATAATAAAACAAGAAAAACAGATAGTAGAGAGACTCACAAGCTCTTATTGGTTTTGTTAGTAATATTTGTGATTGTTTCGATTTTTCCCTTCGCTCTCGGCACGATTCACGTGAAACACGGAGCAACGAGCTCTTGTAATGATTATAATTCGTCTGGAGTCAACCAGGAGGCTGCAGGATAACTCCCATCATTTTCCAGTGCATGCATCCTTGGGGATTTATCCGCTCTCGTCCAACTCATCCATTATTACAGGTCACGTATGACGTCACCCGCGTCGCGACGGAGCTCAACTGCGCGTGAGGTAGAACGGGACGGACGTCACGCCGGATCCTACATCCACCGTCCATTCCCTGGAAGCCCAAGCTGAGCCGTCCATGTTGCCCATCAGAAAACCGCTTGCTACGCACCGTAGGGCGCCCACGGTCCCCGAAACCGGACTGGGGCTGCCTGTTCCGGAATTCCGCCCCCCACCCCTAACACAACGTCGAGGCGAGCTCTCCGTGCGGACGACCGCACCCGAAGGGTGGAGCCGTTCCCAAGTCTCCTCCGCAAGATGTGGGGACGCGGGCTCACCGTTAAGCGTGGCCACCACACGCCATCTCCGTTTCATCTCCTCCGCCACCGCCCCCGGGCCATCGAATCTCTCCCGCTCACCCGAAATACCCGTGATGCCCCTGTCAACATCATCAGTTTGCGGTGTGGTAAGATACGTAAATCTTGGCCGAGGGAAGGGGTTTTGGTGAACGTGAGCAAAGTGCCATGTTGCTTGTGGGAGGAAACCGCTTATCTTTCCAGTGCTTCAGAAACCGCAGCAGCACCACCCCACTTTCCGAGCTTTATATAGCTCCCCTCCCTCCTCCGCCATCCTCGCTCCTCCACCCCCCGCCCCGTCTCCATCCTCTTCCATTGACTTGTATCACTCCATCGCATTCGGTGCTTTTTTATGTTCTGTTTTCTGTTCTACTTCTTCTGGTGTCTCTGCTAGCCGGCTGTAGTCTAGTTCTAGTTGCCTGTTGAGAGGAGATTGCGGTAGGTCAGCGCAAGATGCGGATGAGCTGCAATGGATGTCGAGTCCTGCGGAAAGGCTGCAGCGACGGGTGCACCATCCGCCCCTGCCTGCAGTGGATCAAGAGCCCCGAAGCGCAGGCCAACGCCACCGTCTTCCTTGCCAAGTTCTACGGCCGCGCAGGACTCGCCAACCTTATCGACGCTGGCCCCGAGCACCTCCGCCCTGGTATATATTTCTTTGTTTCTTATATCATGATGATGATTGAACTCCAGTAAAGGATGGGAATTCATAGGGTTATGCTCGTGTTCCTCTCACAGCTATATTCCAGTCGCTGTTGTACGAGGCCTGTGGGCGGATCGTGAACCCGATATATGGTTCCGTGGGCTTACTCTGGTCCGGCAGCTGGCAGCTCTGCCAGGCGGCCGTTGAGGCGGTGCTCAAGGGGGCGCCCGTCACCCAGATCTCCTCTGATTCCGCTGCCGCTGCTGTTCCGGCGTTCAAGGCGTACGACATCCGCCACGTGGCCAAGAAGTCCGACGCCGCTGCCGTTCCAGGAGGTCTCCACAGTGTCGCGGCCAGATCCCGCACCCGGTTCAAGCGCTCAGCCGTCGGGCCAGCTGCTTTGTCTGCGGGGGGGCTTGCCGTCTCGGGGCCGGGGCTCTTCCGCCGGGCGGAGAGCCATGATTCGGAGGAGAGCCGCGAGAACGGGAGCGCGTTCTCGGGGGAGACGGCGGAGCGGTCGCACGTGAGCCAGGGGGAGCCGGACGCGGAACCCGCCGACGTGGGGCTCGATCTGAGGCTGGGGCTGGAGCCGGAAAGCCGGAACGGGGGAGGAGTCGCAGGGGGCGAGCCGGTTGTAGTACCGCAGATGGAGAGGCGGAAAGCATGGGCGGCGGACGCGTGCCGAGTGGAGTTGGGCCTCAGCTTGGTTGCGTGAAGCGAGCGAGCTCGCGTTTGGACCCCTGCTCTTGACCGTGTGCCGCTCGCAGCAGCAGCGAGGCACCATCAGTTTGACGGTGGCAATGGCTCTGCGATTGTCTCTTCTGCCGTTGTTTCCATGCGTCGTGTACTATACATGCGTACTATCTATATAAGACATGCCCATTTTTCATCTGCGTGTTACGGTTCGTCCCTACATAGTTTCTAATGCGAACTGGCGGTTTGTGTGATCAACAGGAGAACTGCTGATGGCAAACGTGCTCGCCGTTGCTTGCGGATGCAATTGGTCTTTTGCTAAAATTCTAAACCTCTCACTCGCTCTCTCCAGCTCAGCTCCAGTGCGCAAGTAACATCATGTATGGTAAGAAGAGAACGCTCGGATGCACGCATGTAGTCTCCATCCACCGCCCTTTGTTCGCGGTTGCTTATTCCACGATATGGATCAAAAGGATGAAACTGGCGACATATCTGTAATAGCTCAGCATCTGCAGTTGGACGCTAGTAATTAATCCAGTAGATTTCATGCGATAACGTTTGTCTGAGAATATACGGTGACGGTCTGTCTATATTTGTTACCTTTAAAGAGGGAATGTATCATCTAATTCATGGTTACATCTCGCAGCAGCAGTTCGCACTTCATGCAGGAAATATATAGTTAAAGCCAATATAATGGAAGACTTCACGGAATTGGTGAATACAATGCAAACTTGTAGAATCAAACAGAGGCGCTGTGACTTGTATTAATGGTGAGATACGTAGAAGCAGGATGGTGGAGAAGGGCGGCCGAGGCTAAGATCTAGCAAGTTTCTTTTTTCTTTTCTTCGAGGCAGCGGCTTCGAGGGTTCACTGCAATTAGCAAATTAAGCTTCCCGAAGAGGAAGAGGATAAAAGAGAGACCGTATTCCATTACAAAGGAGAAACAGTGAGGGCGAGGCAGATGGAAACCGTGATAAAAATCCCTGTCACGATTAATTAGAATAAGAAAAGAGAGACAGAGGGTGTGTGTTCAGTTTCACTGGTGTGGTGTGAGATGTCAGCAGCCACGCTTCTTGCTGATAATAGAAATATAACAATACAAAATGGCAAGTGCTATTGTAATCATCTATGTCCATGTTTCTCTTGAGCATGAGAAGCGTACTTCCATAGCATTTGATAATAAGCGTATTTTCTCCTGGTTTCCATATTCTTTAATTAATATGGGATTAAATAATCTTATTAGTACTCCCTTCTATAAGAAAGCCAAGGGCTCATATCTAAAGTGCACGGCTTGGGAGCTTACTCGGCCAAGGTGCAAGCCTCGGACCCTCCTTATAGTCATTACGATAAGGGACTATTTGGTCTGTCGATCATTGGTGTTGCCCGTAGGCTCGTGAAGAATTCTCCATTTTGGACGATGGATGTACTCGTACGATTTTATCATTTCAAAACATATGAACTTAAAAAAGTATCACTGAGAATAAAGAAGATCCGGACTTACAAACCCTTGGTTCTTATAATTCTAAGATATATCTGCAGGTAATTCTTACATTTTGGTTGATGAGTGCACCCATTTTTTACTTTTCTCGTGCTGCTGCTCTCTCCATTTGGGAAGGTAATCTGGAGCGGAGGATGCCTTGTTTAATTACACGTACCGACGATAGAGAAAGAAACCCACCATCCGTTTGGATCATAATAATTCAAGGAGGCATCTAATTTTATACAGATTGGAGTAGAGCCCCAACACACACACACACATCATCGGTGACGCAGAGTCAGGATCAAAGGTTTAGATTATTAGCATGTCAGTGGGTGGGATCCGCCGCACTCTCAAGTTCTTGCTTAATCAATCAAGTAAACGCTCTTCCAGAGATCTCTAGTAAGAAAGAGACTTGGGAGTAGGAGCAAGTCGCTGTCGCCGTCGCCGCTCCGCGCCTACTTGGATGCACCTCAAGTGTTTTCTAATGACCAGGCGCGTGGCTGGCATCAGCCTCCTCGTCCTACGGCATCCGGTGGCTCAAATCTCTCTCTCTCTCTCGTTCTCCCGTCTTTATCGTCGTGGGCACTTGGATTTTATCTCGTCAAAGGTCGGACGAAGGAAACCGTGTATGGAGCAGACAATTTCTGGAGATCAGTAGTCTCGTGGTCTGCCCCATCTGTGATGTGGCTGCAACAGCGTTGTTTCATAATTTGCAAAAACATAATTTGCAATCTCCATGTCCAATCTTACATGTACACTATTCTTACTCTAATATTCATGGTGACGAGGAGATGAATATGTCTGTTCATATTGCTCTACTACAAAATTAAGATGGAAGCAAGTAGGATTTATGGGGGGAAGAAAAAGAAAACGAGTTGAACAAGTCAATTAATCTGTGGATTCAGCTAGGAAGCAGAATTCAACCTACCTACCTATTTATGTCAACTTTGACCCGAGAATTCAACCTACCTATTTATGTCTACATTTTTCAGCTAATAGGAAATGACAAGGCCATGTTTCACAAGTTCTTTTGAGGTATATCGATTGTCAAATTTGTTGAGTATTTATTCTCCTTTGCATGGCAAAATAATGTTATATCAACGATTCGTTCGCTTGATGCTATTTGTGTCCCCCAATGCGCCAATGGTTGAAGTGCATCCTAGTCTTAAGAAAGACAGAGGAGCTACTATATCTACATCTCTGACTGCAGTCTCGTCATGGTTTGGGTAGCAAAACCTAGGGCGGAATTATCCGCTATCTCCACCCACCCACACTCGAGCTTCGTGTATACTCAATAATATATAGCACTCGTAAACCTAAGCAATGACGTAATCACAACATTATCTTAATCCTTGGATTCGCTGGAATCTGTCAGATCTGTCCAACGACTACTGCTACAAATAAGATTTCTAAGTACCAGGAGGCCGTGCAAGTCCAACGATCAACCCGAGGACCTACTCGCCTGCACTTGTTTAATAAAAGGGCGCGTGGTGGCCACTCGACCCTTTCGACACGGCGAATGCTATATTTCATGAGTCGAATTAAGAAAACAAAGAATAACGTGGGGTTGATTCTTTGGCAGATTAAGGTAGTACGATAGCTAGTTATTGCTGGACGTGGTGTTCTAAGTATGGCTGCATAAAAAGGTCGCACTAGTAACTCTTATAGTTTCTCCCATGCTTTAATTTCTTAGCACACAACCCTAATTCTTGTTTTTGTTTTTGGCTTGTTCACATGCAGTATTTTGCATGCGTCAGTATCCCGTTTGATGTCGTGAAAACAAAAGAGCTTCAAACACACCCCTCGTGTCATAAATGGGCCTAATAAAACGGGCCCTAAACTTGGGCCCATATCAACGTACTTCACCACAATTTTTGAGATGTTGGGCCGTGCTCTATTAATCAATTAACCGACTGTTAAAGAAATGGTAAATAGAAAGATTAAGAAACATGCCATTTTGAAATAAATTCAAAAAAAAAAGAAGACAAGAATCATTGTCCTAAGATGTATTTCCCACTTGCATGCAGACCTCATCGAAAAAATCTTCAACTCGTTTGTTTGTGGGCATGAGATGTTGCAGCATAAATAAATTAAAGGAAAAACATAAGATGAAAATTATTGAAAGAACACTTTAAATCACGTAGAGGAAAACTAGATTTTTGTCTCTCATCTTTGGATGCGAGTAATGGAGACAGTCTTTTTATGTACAAAATATAGGAAAAATAAAACACTACACTCTCGTCTGACCTTCGTGTCTCGAGCATAACGATAATAATATTCTGTAGGTCTCCCGTCTACAATAAATAAAAAAGAAAGACCTCTGACCTTGTCGAGCCACCACACATCATCGTCGTCGTCGTCATCATCATCATGCGAACTCACGAAGAAGCCGCGGTCGATCGGTGCATAGAATAATTGCACTACTTGGTTGTTGGAACGAAGCCTCCTTGTAGTTTCCCTGCTGCGGATCACTTGTTTAATTGCTAATGTTTTGTCTCTATTTGCTGGAGATGATCGGAAGTCTCCGGGAACATTCTCAGCACTACCTCTTTATTGGTATAACGAGTAAGAATACATAGAGAAACTACCATCTTTCTTTTATTTAAGCAACTCGGACTTCCCTCGAACGAGGACGAGTCTTTTATATCTCTCTCTCTCTCTCTCTCTCTCTCTCTCTCTCTCTCTCTCTCTCTGAAAGCCTCGGGTTTGGAGTCTTGGCTGCCAAATCTGTTTTCGACAAAAGGCATTCCATCTTTTCGATCTCATTTTTCTCGTCGATGACATACGTAGCGTTTGTTTGACTGTGGAGGTAAGAACCCATGCATGCCATGCCGACTTCAAAGTTGACGCGCGGTGGATAATAAATCTAATGCTCTGAGTTGCCTTGTTTGACGCTCACCACAAATTTTGACTCCACTTACCTTTTTCTTAAACAATCTGTGTTTGTTTGGGTCAAAAATAATAATAATAATAATAATAATGTCTGGCTACATATTGAGCAGCATAATAATAAATGCATTTAGACGACATTTAGATTGAGAAATGCAAGGCAGACGAGAAATAATGGGCCATGAGACAACTAAGAAACCCTCTCACGGTTACCCAAAAACCCCAATATATAATAAATATGTCGCAAATACCAAATCTTGTGTTAGAATATGGTTTACAACTCAAAGATTACACCAAATTGAATGCAGAAAGAACACATCCACTGGACTCGAATGGGGTGGGAGAACAGCGCGTCATGTCACGCTCGATTTTATTCCTCCGTCACCGGCACGGCGTTCAGATCGAGCGACTCCCTCGGGATCCCGCTCTCCACCACCGCTTCAACCTCCTCCTCCGATACCGCCGCATCCATCCCCCTCGGTGCGGCATTCTCGACGGCGCCCGACTCCTCGAAGTCCTCCCTCTCGAACGCCGGCTGCCACCGCCGCGCCGTCTGCGTCACCCTCTCCCCCTTGGCTTCGCCGCCGACGCCCTCACGACCAGCAGCACCACCCCTCGTCGCAACGAAGAATCTGGCGGCCTCCCGCATCCGCTGGAGGATGGCGAAGAACTCCTCGACCTCGTCGTCGGTCACCTGAGCCTCCTCGGCCCTGCACCGTCGTGTCCACCTCTCCTCCTCGGCGCCGTCGCCACCCGACCTCTTCTTGGCCGCCGCCGTCGCCATAAGATAGGACGAAGGAATAATTATCCTCCTCTCTGTTTCTCTCCCTCCCATCTTCAGCGAGATGATGAAAAGAATCCGCAGGTAAAAACGTTGAATGGAGAACATATATATAATAGGAGGAGGGGAGGGCAGACGACAAAAGCGACAGTGGTGAGTCTTGGGTAATGACGGGGGCCGATGACGAATGAAAAGTGTCGTCATTGGGGGAGGAGGGGATAGCTTCGCCTCCACATGGAATGACGGAAGAAAGAAACCTGTTTTGGACATCAAGAAATAATATCAAGAAAAAAAAATGTGAGCCCACGAAGCTAGAAACCCAATCTTAATGAAATGTGAGCCCACGAAGCCAGAAACCCAATATCGATTGGTTGAGTCTTATTATTATTCTCATTCAAACATAGACGGTTCAGCTTAACCCAACGTATGGATCACCCTTTTTTTTTTCAGCATTCTATGTCGATCAAAAATTACTTTTTCATTCATTAATTGATTTTTATCATATTTTAAAATAGGTATGCATTATGGATGACAAATTTTGTTTGTTTTATTAGGAAAGCACAAATATAGTTAAAAGGTTTAACATATTTCTTCTCCTCTCCTGCATCACACAGTAGCAGCCTATCGATGACAGTGGAACATCATTTGGGAGAATCCTAGACTATATAGCAGTGGAATACCGGTCAATGAAACTAGATCTTGAATAAGATATATTATAAATATGATTATCGGTAAATAAAAAAAAATTCATTATGATAAAAAGTTTTAGAAGATAAGGAAGAATTTTTCTAATTAATTATTCTATATCCTTTATTCTCGTCTATAAATAAACATGATCTTTTATAGACTCAATATAATATAATGCATAGCCTGACGTGACATTATTAAGATAGAATATATCTTCTCTTATCTCCTCATAGTTACGTGATGTTATTGAGAGATTATATATCTTCTCTCATCTCTCCTTAGTCCTTGATTCATCGTCGCTTTTAACTATCCCGTAAGAGATAGGAAGAGAAAAAAAAAAGACTGAGTCTAATTCTTATTATATATTGATATCATAGTGGCTTTCAAATCGGATGATGATGCATTTATAGATTAGATAAATATTTTCCATAGCAATAATTACATCTTATCTTTATAATATGCCCAATTCATTCTCAACTGATTCGTACCCTCCCAATGGTCTAAATATATAGCCAGAGGAGTCACGGCTCCATGACATGTGGCTTCCCGTTTCCCTTCCCTGCTGTTATTTCTAACGCTGGACATCTGCAACATCAGAATAAAAGGAAAAGTAAAGGTAGTATTAGTGGAGCTTCACACCAACATTCTTTTCCACATTACATTACTACTGAGTGATTCGATCCCAACCATACGAACGCAGCACTTTCAATATTTTATGGAACCCTGCGTGCTCATCCATCCTTTTTCTTTTACCTCCAAAGCTAATTTGTTTTGATTTGATACCAAACCGTGCACTGCCAATAAATAAATGTATTGCCCGATGCGAAACGAGCGAGGGTAAAACTGGCGCATCACGCATGAAATGACAGCACAGGTCGCACTGCTCTACGATGAGCACCTCATCAAAATGCTGGCTGTGTTCCTTTCTTAACACAATTACTCGTGATATCATTCGCCAATGATCACATTGGTGGCCGCTAGGCGCATGATGCGGGGTTTCGGAAGAAGCGAAGAAACAGTGTTTTGGGTGTGTAGTTAACCAACAACATACGATGCTTGAATGCGTGTTTGGTTTTTGTTAGGTCGACGACTGCTGATGTCCTTCCTTCAACATCTTTTTAAGGATGCGAGGTGCCCTGTTATGGGCTTAACTGGACTTGCAACACATGTTCGAGACCTGATAACACAAGCGTCATCTCTCTGGACGGCAAAGCAAGAACGCGATTCCTTCCTTTATTATCTATCTATCTATCTATCTATCTATCTATCTATCTATCCTCAAGGCATCTTATCACCGCTCACCTAGTATGATGATGACACGATGGAGACCAGTCGTGAGGAGCATTTATTATTATGTCCACCACAGCATTAGGTAGCTGTTGTTCACGGCAGCACGCTTAATTGGTCGTCGGCCGTGTTTAATATTGTCATCGGCCGGTCGCAGCAAGCAAGCGAGCGAGCAAAGATACACACGTACGTGTCCAATAGTGTTCATGTTTCGGTGAGGAATTTAGAGAAGACGGCCAAGAGCCATTCCACCAAAAAGATAAAAAGAGACGAGGAATCCAAGTCACTACTGCGTGCTGTTTCCTTCGGCTTTTCGTCTAACACACCATCTGTCTCCCTCTACCTTGCGGAGACACCAAATCGGCTTTTGGATGGCTACAAGGGATGAGGAATCAATCCCAAGGGCGTGCCATTCTATATTTTGCTATACTCAAAGAAAGGAGGCACACCATGCAAGCATATATAGTGATTTTTTCTATTATTATTATTATTATTATTATTTATGGGACTTTATAGATAGGGCAGCCGCATGCACTGTGATGTCATTACATGAGATTGCTTTTTTTTATTTGTTTCAGAGTACATGATAAGCTCAAGTTGGCTGGGCGATGCACTAAAAAATGGCAGAAGAGGTAGATAGATGAGATCCAAACAAACGCCCATCAATCAATCATCGAGTCATGGAAGGTGGGATTCATGCATGCGTGTGTACCGCGTGGCACAAAACCTTGTTATCATCAGCCTCTCATTTCTTTTTGCTGCTCGCACAAGCAGCCGAACCATGACGAAAGCTTTTGCGATTTCTTAGACTTGTCGAAATCAACGCTGCTTCATACCACTGTCGTGGAATACACAGAGAGGAGTCGAGGCGAGCCTACCGCCGTCTTTTCCCTTGTAATTAACTCATATAGTGAGTGAGTGCTCTCTCCCTTTAATCCCTTAGAAATTTGAATCTTGCTTTGGCTGCCATGCATTTGCTGTAGTTCCTTTTACACTATTTAATCAATTAATTAGTAGGCGCCATTTAGATGATTTTATTGGCTTGTGGGGTCGAAATGAGAGCGGTAGAACAGTAGAGAACGAATGAGTTAATTATTAATTACTTAAAGAAATCGATGATCGCTAATATAATATAGTATTCTTTCGTTTCAGCCTTATGGCAAATATTTGTTGTTATTCCAAGTGTCAGTATAATACGACACAATCGTGGACTCCGAATGACGAATGCTACCGAAAATAAATATTAATATTATTACAATAAAGGCATTAATATAGTGTGACAAAGAGTGTTTTTAGCAAATATATGTCTAGAAAATACGTAGGAGAAGAAATAACGGAAAAGAAAGGGTGGTGGTGTCATCGAAGAACGACCATCATCATCACCGGCGGTTTGGTTTCCCAAAAGCCAAGAGAGCTCGACCCCCAACCCAACCCAACCCAGCCAATTTGGAAACATGCATGTCGCTTTAAACAAGATTAAAGATTAAAGATTAAAGATTAAAGAGGGAATCCCATCGGTAGTTATTTATTTGTTTGATATACTTTTTTTTCTCTTCTAATATAATAAAAAAATAAAAATCACGAAAAAGTTAAAAAATATTCCTGCGATGATAGTCCTATATACCATGTTCATCTCATGTATCATGAAAGGTTTTGTTTCGCTCAATTTCTTCCTTAATATATAGTAAAATTAACGTGAAAGGTCAGACAATTCATTTAGATATAAAAGAAACTAAAATTTTAATTAAGAGATTAAAGAAACAATGGACGAGATTTGTCATGCAATCTTCATGAAAAAAAAAAAACTTTTTTCTATCTCATTTGATTCTCAGATAACATCCGGATCCACCGGCTCATGACCTTGTGTATCGACCTAGTTCGTCATCTCTAAGGCCACACTCAAAAATCTAAGAGGCATGAGGATATGATCTTAAAAAAAAAAAAAAAAAACTCAAGTTTCGATAAAACCTTTTGTAGAGTGAGGGATATAGAATGACAAATCCATATAATATATATTGCACCCCAGGAAAGACAAAATCTACTCGACCTAAGGCATGAGAGATATAGGATGAGTGGTGACATGTGACCACGTTTTACGTTCGTATTCACCTCAACTCCTTTATATTGACATCATCATTTTTTTTTTCTTTTGTGCCTTATGTGAACACCAACTCATGTCAATCATGGTAGTGTGCTCTCTTAAGTGAAGAATTGGGTGATAGGGAATATTTCAATATCACCCTATACCTACAATCGATAGTTATCTTGGAATCAATGTGACATCTCAGAGTCGATAGCGAATACGCTCGATACGACCTCAAAGCGACATAGCAGACTCAAGAACGATACACAGTCGTGCCCGAGATCGTACAAAGCAGCCCCATGTAGCGCGGAACCAGAACAGTTAATCCATGTCGTCTGGCGTAGATGAACCAGTCGCTTGGATTTTCGATAGTCAAGACAAGCCCATCCCACTCAACTTTCGCCCCCCAACATTGGAGGCCTATGACGATGGCTTCGATCCAACAGAGCACCTTATCACTTTCTAGGCACAGATGACCCTATAGGACACATCCGACTCCCTCATGTGTCAAATATTCCCTACCACCCTTTAAGACCCGGCTTGGGTGTGGTACAACTGGTTGAAGTCATCCTCGATATAGTTTTTCAACCAATTCATCAAAGAATTCGAGCTTTACTTCCTTGCCAATATACGACCTAAGCCATCCATGGCGATGCTCCTCGGGTTAAGGTAGAAGGAGGACGAGGCCCACTCCCTCTTCGTCATTCGTTTCTCCACAGAAATCCGAGGGGGTGCCCGATGCCCACCTCTCATCAATCATCCAAGCATTCATGATGTGACTACAACTTACAAGGTTCTTCTAGTCGCTCATCGAGAGGCTACCAGCAACCATCCTTGAGATGCTCCAGTGGGCTAATCAATATGTCGCCATTGATGCACTAGTGGTAGAGAGGTGCAAGGAGTCAAACAAAAGATCCCGTGTGAAACAACCTCGAGGCTCACCCTTGGGACCACCCAAGAGAAGGCTTGACAGACCCGAGCCACCACTCTCGAGGCCCCCTCTACCATCTCTCAACTCGTCCAGAATGAAGATTTTCCTCTAGATTAGGGAGAAAGGGCTCTTAAAGTAACTTAACCTGTTGAAGATCCCACATGAGTTCAAGAACTGAACAAAGTATTGCAGGTTCCACCGCGACTATAGCCACGACACTAAAGAGTGTCGGGTCCTGAAGTACTAGATCAAGGAACTCATCCACAGGAGGTATCTCGAACGATACCTCCGAAGACCTTGGGAGCCCTCTTTGCACCCTCACGACCCAATCGAGAAGCAGATAAATGTAATTATCGGCAGTCCAACATCCGGGGGAGATAGTATATCCGAGTGGAAGGCCTATGCCCATGCCACAGTAGAGAAGCATCCTAGGCAAAGGGATAGCCCCGAGATCACCTTTGAGGTGGGAGAAGATGAATACCCCGACCACGATGATGCCCTGGTGATCTCGGACTAGATCACCAACGCCTGATTGAAAAGGGCAATGGTGGACACCAGGAGTTCTGTTAATGGCTTATATTTCGACTAAAAGACTCGAGTCGTACACCTCGATCGACTAAGGCGAACTCGCTCCCGAAGTCGTGCACCTTGGCTAGAAGACTCGCTAAAGGCGAACATATGCCCAAGTCAAAAAAGGTGCATCTCGAGCCCCCCTACGAGGAACCTAAGACACGCCTATAGGGGGAGAAAATAATAGGAAATATTTTGGTATCACCCCACAATGACAACCGACAACCCCCTTGGAATCAACGTGGCGCACACGCGTGGTACGACCTTGAAGCAACGCACAGTTGTGCTTGAGATCGTACAAAGTAGCCCCACTCGGCATGGAACTAAAACAGTTAGCCTATGCCGTCCGAAGCAGACAAACCAATTAACTGGATTATCGACGATCATTACAATTTGCGTACGATCGACCCTCATGGAGAGGTATAAAAAGTTGACCAGGAGGCAAATCTCGAGCACTCAATGCTACCACCAAAAACTAATTTTAAGTTTCAGAGGATTCGAGCTAAGAATCCCCCTCTCGGTATCAACCTGTTATGCAAGGACCCAACGCCAGAGGCAATCCCAGCTTCCCCGTAGGCCGACCCAGGAGACACACATCATCGCTCCAATCTTGTCCTCATTTCCACCTCGTAACACCTATGTGGACGTCATAGTATGATCGGGATCGAACCAAATCGTACCGACTCCCAGACCACATGGCCTACCACATAAGATAATAATGCTTCGCTAGTTCGCGTCTTAATGCTAGAAAAAACTGATCATATTTTTCTTGCCGGAAGCCCACTTTGTCATTGCTCTACTAGATTTTTGACGATGCAAGACACCACATGAGTGGTCAATCCTTCACATCATGATTCAGTTGGGTGCCTATTCATCATAAAAAAATATATAAAAAAATCCTTCAAACTAGAAGCTAGAGAAGTGTAACAAAACCATAAAATGGGAAAATAAATTTATAAGTCTCTTAATAATTTAACTCAAAAAAAATTAACATATATCATCCACTGTTTTAAAACATTACACAATATGAACTTATTCTGTTAACAAAAATGTTATAAGTCTCACAAACATAGATGGACGAGGTAGAAAGTATACTTGGCCTGAGAAAGATGACTTAGCCGAGCAGGTTGGGCGCTGGCCGTCCTACCCACGTCGGTCGACGCCGCACCGCGGACGCGAAATTCCCTCCACAACGGACGCGTCCAGAAAATTAAATTTGGAAAACAAAACCATGGAATCCACTCAATTTCGTTCCACGCCTTCGCACCCGTCCCTTCTCTCTTTCTCCTTTTTTTTTTATTCTTACCCCCCCATTTTTTTACTCCCTCTTAATATTTTCCGTCCGTTGTCGCCGATTACTAGTGTTTATTTAATGTTGGTGCGTGTTATATGATCTTCCGGCCCAAAGAACCCCTTGGAAACACAATACCACCCGCGCCCCTATATAAACCCCCACCACAACACCCCACCTCCCTGCCCAAAACACCCCCCACCCTTTTCACACCTTCCCACGTTACCCCTTACTTTTTGGCTTCGCCTTTATTCTGTCTTCCCATTATAGCCCCACTAATCTTTCCTCTCCTCCCTCTTGATGCAGAGCTCCGGTGAGCAGAAGCGCCATCGCGAGGACTCCGACGAGTCGGAGTCGCCGGAGGTCAAGCGCCTCCGGGCAGATCTTCTCCTCGACATGCTTGATGACGATCCCGGCGCTGGTAACCAGGACCTCGAGTCGGTCATTAGGAGCTTGGAGAAGGAGATCGCCTATCCGTCGCCTCATTCCAAGCTACAGCACGAGCCGTCGGTCTCGGCGGGACAGCCCGAACTTGGGTATCTCTTAGAGGCCTCCGACGACGAGCTCGGCCTCCCGCCGACCGCAGCCGCTTCGTCGGCGGACGAGGATGTAGGAGCCGCTGAAGCGGCGGGGCTGGGAACCGTGGCGGAGCCGGAGGGAGTCGGGTTTGGGCAGATTTGGGGTTTTGAAGACCCGATCGAGAGCTACGGGGGGTTCGGCCTGGAGAGAGAGATGGCGATGGTGGCGGAGGAGGACGGGCTGGTGTTCGACTACCCCGAGGAGGTAGCATCGGGGCCATATGATCCATCTGATCTCTTGTGGCGCCCGGAGTCGCTTCCCGCCGCCTGAGATGGCATCGGCGCTTATCGATCTTTTTTAAGGTTTTGTAGACTTGTTTTACGGTGACGGCACCCACCATGTAAAGCCTTTTCATTTCCTAGGCAGGGAAACATGGAGGGAAAAGAAATAAAGACAAATTATGGACCAAATAAAAAATGATCATCTTTATTAGGGGTGGACGGTCTTTCTGAGATCGGAATCACTTTTGGGAGGGGCGGTCGGTGGGCGAGTTCTTCACGCTTTGAGAGTCGTGGTGGGAACTGATGTGCGCGTTGCATTGGGCTTTCATTTGGTGGATGGAATCTGGACCGTCTATTCAATTCCGATCGCATCTGAAGGGGTCTCCTGGTGGTGCCAAGAATCACGGTGCGTGGCTGTCACCGGTTTGATCACGTGACAGCTTCCTTCTCTTTAATCGGTCTTATCTGCTAATTTCACGGTCTCTGTTTCGTGATGAACCGCGGACACACAATCGAAGACATTCGGCTGAAGGGTAAACAAGTAATTACAAGCGATTCGATTTTTCTAGAAAACCTCCTCCTCCCGTTCACTGTGGTGACCCTAACCATCTTTCGCCCCCAAACAAAAACATCTCTTCACGCTCGGTTGCTCTGTCACCTGATGCGCCACCGCTTTCTGCCATCTGCTGGTTCGCTGCCCGCCATTCATCAAAAGACATCTCCACTGGTTTCTCTTTGTTTGCGCCGGAGATTCGAAGCCCTGGAGGAGGACCAGAGAAGACTATACTGTTGCCCAAGGAAGTATCGGTCGGTAAATCCAGATTCTAGGCTCGATCTCCTCTGCCTTCTCTGTGATCCTTGAGTTCGTTGGTCTATGTCTCTTCTTCGTGGCGGTGATTTTATTTGTTCATACGGCGGTGGCGGCCAGGGTGAACGTACTGAAGGCGGCGGCTAAGATCAGGAAGGTCCCGGCGGCTGAAGTCCTCGCTTCCCTGGCAGTGATCAAGAAGGAGAAGGCTGAGCCGCCATCGTTTCTTGAAACCCTCGGGAGGGACACAAGTCAGGAAATTGTTTCACTCGGAGGACTGATTTTAAGGAAACTAAGCCGGATTCTTGTTGCGGTTTCCTATATACATGTATATTAATCGTGGTACTGAGTTGATGTCTGATCAGAATGGATGTTCATGCTACTGCAGGAACTTCTATCTGTGGGAGGGAAGTCGGTGGTTGATGACAAATCTGCATTGGTTCGAATCATTGGAGGGTAAGGAAGTCTTCTTGTTCATTGGCAAAAGCGTTGGTTCGTCTTTCTTTTTGTTTGATAAGATACATACTGGTCTCCACTTCTTTCACTTTAAAGAAAATAATCCTCGCTCTTGTTTCAATGGTTATCGATGGTTTAGTTTCATGATATAGACGCTGAATAATAATAGTTCGTTTTTAAGGTCCAGGCATCGAGAATGCTACGAACAAGCATATTGCAGAAGGTTTCTTCTCCCACATTGAACGAGATGTGCTGCTTTGTCCCATTTGACTGCAGCATACAGAAAAGATGGAAGAAACCAGTGGATTCTGCACAAACTCGTCTGGAGAACAGAACAAGAGATCTCAAGCTTGACAAGCTGATGAATCAGTTGAAGAAGCTAAGGTTGGTAATGGGAGTTCATGAGCTAATGGCAAAACGTAGGGGTCACTACACATCCGTTCAGCTCCTCTCTAGATGGAAACACATGGTTGGCTTGAATACAGAAATAGGTGACTTTCTTCACAAGTATCCCCATATTTTTGAGACGTACATTCACCCTGTTAAGAAGAATCTTTGTTGCAAACTCAGTCGAAAGATGATCGATTTGATTGCGGAGGAAGCTAGGATCATCAGAGCATCTGAATTTACTGTTGTTCAGCGTTTGAGGAAGCTTCTGATGATGTCAACTCTTGGAACGTTGAACCTCCATGCACTATGGCTTTCAAGGAGGGAGTTGGGATTGCCAGATGATTTCAGGGATTCAGTGATTCCAAAGTATCCAGATTGTTTTAGAGTTGAACTTCCTGATACCTTGGTACTCATCTCTCGAGATGCAAGTTTGGCTGAAGCTGAGATTGAGAAATGGAGGGAGAAAGAGAACAGAGAGAAATGGTTGGGTGAGCACGAAACCAAGTATGCTTTTCCAATTCAGTTTCCTACAGGTTTTAAGATCGAAAAAGGATCGAGAGAAAGGCTGAAGAACTGGCAGATGCTTCCTTACACAAAGCCTTATGAGAAGAAGCATGTTATCAGGATTTGCAATGTTCTGCGTTTTGAGAAATGTGCTGTCGGTATTCTTCATGAATTTCTGAGTTTGACAATGGAGAAGATGGTTGAGGTCGAAAGGTTGTCGCATTACAGAAGAGATTTTAGCATGGAAGTTAATGTGAGGGAGCTCATTCTTAAGCACCCGGGCATATTTTACATCTCCACCAAGGGGAGCACCCAAACTGTGTTTCTTAGAGAAGCTTACAGCAAAGGTTGTCTGATTGAGCCCAACCCTGTTTATGCAGTACGAAGGAAAATGTTGGACCTGGTTTCGCTGGGATGCAGAAATACCAACCCGAAGCGACGACTGGAGCAACTTGATGAGCGATGCGACAAGCAATATAATGGAGATCTGGTTGCTCAGATGGCAGAATGTCATGATGAAGAACATATCATGGAGGATCTCTGCAGCAGCTGTCTTCACTCTGATGAGGAAGATGCAGAGTGAAACTTGGGTTCCTCGTTGACGCATGGGCTAGGAGAACGTAAGGTAGTTTGAAGCTTCAAAATAGCTTATTCCCTGTGTGATTTTGCTCTGTTTGCAAAACATGATTTAATCAGTCCAACGGAGCTTACAATTTTGCTTTTGAAGAGTAAGCCGAAGCAGTAATATAGTATGATCTTGTCAATTTGATTAGCGGACTGGATAGCTTGTACCCAGTGTATCATAGGGTGGACGTCACAGCTCCATGGAAATATACTCTGTTCGATATTTTTGATCTTGTAGTCTCCTATGTCTTTTTTTCTCTCTTCTTTTTCATTTGATTTTTTTGGTTCTTGTGTGTTTGTATCTTGGCACAATAGGCAATCATTCATGTTCTTGCTTTGAGGATGAAGGTTTAGTCAATACTTGTGGGGATTGTGAGGAGAAAATGTTCATAATGAAGGAAAATCATTTAGATAAAGAAGGATCGTCCAAGTTTTCAACTGTATCTTGTCACAAAAAGATTATCTTGTAACTATTTGTTCTACAATGTTGTCTTCTTGTAAGAAGAAAACCAATGATGACCAGCATATTTATTTTCTTTGTTTTTAAGATTATTTTTTTACTAATCTTAATGATGATAAAAATTTTATATAATTGATCTAAATAGTTAAGATTTATATATATATTTTTTGTTATTGTTGTTTCATAACTCGACTTTGTTTTATTTTCCATAACATTGCCGACGTAGACCCACTAAAATTTAGCCAAAAAAAAAAATTAACTGGTAAACTATAATGATATGTAGTCATAATTACAGAAGTACAAGTTGTGGGATGTAGCTGACGTGGAGCCCCCATTTTGGTCCATGTTTGCCTCGGTTTGACATGGCTATGGATTGAGATCTACCACAATCCACCGTGCGTTTCTCCTCCTTGCTGGACCGTAAGCGCATGTAAATGTGCATCCTCGGCACTTCCAGCTTTCCTTTGATGAGTTCTCTAATAACCTAAGTCACACAAATAATAATAATAATAATAATAATAATAATAATAATAATAATAGATATGTATTTGCTTGCATAAGAATAATCCCGCAACTGAAGGCGCCGACTACAGCTTCTTCCCAGGCATTTTGATGCAGAGCCGGGGCTAGCACATCGACACGTGCCCGTCGACCGTTAACTACCTGCCCAGGATTCCGTGTCACGTGCCATCGACAGCATGAACCCCCCTTGTATTAATATTATTATAAATACGCCCCATCTCCCGGACTCCCGATTCCCATTCTTCCCATCTCCAATTTTCCGCTCCGCTTCTTCTTCTTCTTCTTCTTCTCAACCGGCAGAATGTATACTTCCATCGTCGCCTGCCCATCGCTCCACCCTTCCTCGTTTCCAGCCCGACCGTCGGACCGTCACGCCGGACCGCACCTTCCGAATCGGCAGAGATCGATCGAAGTCGCGGCAGGGAGGGACGGCTACGGATGGGACTACAGCGGCGGCGGTGGGCTTGTCGACGAGAATATGATCGTGCTCAGGAAGAGGATCCACGAGATGAAGATGGCCGAGAGGAATTATGAGGCGCCGTCGGAATGGATGGACTGGGAGAAGCGCTACTACGCCAGATACCACGCCGACGTCTCCGACGTCCTGTGCTTGTTGCAGACCCTACTGATGAACACAAGGCCTAGCGTCGCCATCGGATTGATGGCGGTGCTTGCGTTGAGCGTTCCGACGTCGGCGATCTTGATCTTGTTCCATCTGATCCAGGCCTCGAAGTGGATTCTGGCCGGAATGCATCTCGGTTGAGTGGCGTTTAATGTCTGTGTACTCCACCTGTTCCATAGCTTTATAGAATATTACAATTAATTCGTTCAGTCCTGCCATAGATGTTTCAGCGAGCAAATGAATTATGGATGTTGCGTGAGGTAATAATCGAGGACTCGCTCGACGCTTTTGCGAAATCCGACTGAAAAGGGAACGAGTACAGCAGTGTTGGCTGATGGTTTATTAAGGATGAGACACAAGTAGCAGAACCCTGCAACGATCGTCTTCTCCATCAGTAACGTGCTTCAAGTAAAGCGGAGGAGCTTTTCGTGGATCCAAAACTGATACGATCGATCATCGGAGCCGCTCGTAAAATGGGTCTCTGGCTGAGGCATGTTCATGCTCGATTCTACCTCCCAAAAAAAATCTGAAGTGGCTTGATTAATTTATATCATAAAATCATCAGCAAGATCGCCAAACTTGAAGCGTCTGTATGCCTACTTTGTTGTTTCTTGATGCGATGATGGTTCCGTTCCTGTCGGGGACGGATCATCTGGCAGCTACGCGTAAGCTTCGAACCTCGACGAGGATGCTTACGGATAAATGAACGAGATGAAGGAATGACAGCCCCGCTGCCTTGCGCTCTGTTTCCAGGTGAGGCCTGTATAGTTTAAGCTGAAGCCTAGAAGCAACAAGTGGGTATAGATTTTGGTGCATCCGCCCACCCACCACCCACACCGGGAGCTAATTAACGCGGTCTGGATAGGATCATATCTCCAGCTATTTGGATACTCCCACAAGTAAAGAAGGGACCCGATCCTCAAATGATTGTTGTCAAAATCTAGCGCGTATACTGCAATCATCATAAAATTAATTATCTTCAACACTTGGCTACGCTACGCTACATTCCACCGCCCAAAACTCTCTGCATTGCTTGTGGGGTTTTCGTGTTTGGATCGATGTCTCCTCCGTCTTTAGCTTAATTTTCTACCTTGGCAGTAACACAGGAGCCAAAAAAGAATAGTATTATTACCATCCTACTTTGGATTGGATGGGAAGCAGAGAGGTAGGGAGGAGGAAAGAGCGGATGCTGCCCCCACACGCCTCGGTCTGCAAAAACCCCAAATACCAGCCGCTTCATCATGGCTTTCACCATCAGCGAGAGAGAGGCGCAATCAGTGTCCCAAGCAAAAGGTCTCATAGCTTACAGTCGAAGAATCTCCTTTCGCCGTTAACCCAATTCTGTTCCGCTTGGGAGGAGGATGAATCCTGCCTTCTTCTTTGTGATCACACCCGACAGTAACATATGTTTTTGTCTTCACGTACCTGTCGATCTCCGGTATAACGAGCCCCACCACGATCTGGTCAAGTTCAATGCACCATTTCCATGGTGAAGTAATGGTATCGATGTCAGGCGCTTTCTTGTCGACGAGATGACTTCGGATGGGCGTCCTTGGCAACTAAGCAATGAAGCCTCGGAACTCTCCCATTCTCACACTGTTAAAACTCCACTAGCTTAGCCGCCCGCCGTCCACTTCGAGAATTACATCAGTGCTTTCCAGCGTGGGCTATCATCACCGTAATAATTAGATTCCCTTGTGAAGGATCCCATCTCATCTGAATTATCATATAGCACAGAAGCCGAACGAAAGCTCATCTGCCATGTACATTGCTAGCATAAAACCGTTCGGCTAATCCATCAGATTACAAGTGTGATCTCTGTCTGCTTCAGAGTCAACTGTTTCGTGATGCATTTATCGTGGTGTCATAAAGAGAGCATCTTTGGGTCGCAATTCCAATCTTCTTGCTCTGTTGGTACTTCAATTTCTCATGGCACATGTCGATAGTACACGATGAAGCAACTTTTATATGTGGAAGAAGCAACTCCCACATGGTTGCGCCAGTTCCCGAGAAAAAGCAACCATGAAACAAAGGAACAACATCCACATCTTTTACTTACCCATAAACAACCCTCCAGATAAGGAGCTCGTTCGTTCCACGAAATACCTACATAAATCCAACCCGCAACCAAATCAAGTTGAGTCGAACACCATTGATGTCTACCACATCATTTCACATGATGTGTATATATATATATATAAACTCGGAACATTGGTTCATCAATCCTCGAGAGGTAAATTCTGTTCTATGATCTGTCGATGATTAGCGTTGCAGCAAATTTATCCATTGCCACAATATGATCATGCACGAAACGGAATATGACTTTGCTTCATGGTTTTTAGTATGGGTTATTATATCATGGCCACAAATAATAATAGTAATAATTATTATTATTATTGGGGGCAGTTGAGATAGAAAGAATGTGTGTTATTTCAAAACCACACGGTTTTTATCTCCCTCCAAAAATTTCTCAACCCGGCAAAAGAAGATGGCAATTTTCTCCTTCCGTCCGCCCTCGCTCTCGCCCTCTCCTCTCCCCCAACCCAAGCGTTGTCCTTTCCTCATACCCCCAATCGCTCCTCTTTCCGTTGCCTCAGAGCCTCGCCATCGCCGGATCCTGCGGCCGGGGGCAGCCGCGCCGGAGATCGGAGCCCTAGGGGAGGACCAGAGGAGCACTGTGCCCTTGCCCAAGGAGGAATCGGTCGGTAAATCCAGATTCTAGGCTCGATCTCCTCTGCCTTCTCTGTGGTCCTTGAGTTTGTTGATCTTTGTCTCCTCTTCGTGGCGGTGATTTTATGTGCGCATAGGGCGTGGCGGCCAGCGTGAAGGTTCTGAAGGCGGCGGCGAAGACCAGGAAGGTCTCGGCGCCTGAAGTCCTCGCTGCCCTGGCAGTGATCAAGAAGGAGAAGGCTAACCCGACCTCGTTTCTTGAAACCCTCGGAGGGACAGAGTCGCCGGGGAGGACTTGGATGCTTATCTTCACCGCCCAGGTGAACTCGAGTGCCTGTTACCGCTCTTTTGGCCGCTTAGCCTTCCTTCTCACTGGCATTTGATACGAGGGCTGTTGCCTTTAGGGTCGGCTGGAGAAGGGTCGATATTTCCCAGTCACTGCAGTTCAGCGATTTGACGCAGCGGTGAGAAACTTATAGATACGACACATTTCGATTACTTTTTATTATAAACATGCAGCTATTTGCCCTTTTACTGCATTCCTTATTCCACTAATTGACGATCAATTGGTCCTTTATTTGGGTGTCTTGATTGTGTATTGAGACGAAGAATCTTTTCGACAAACCCTAAAATGTTATTTGCACTTCTAATAGGTGAATCTGTCCAGAAAGAGAAGAAACAAACAAACCAGTATTACTGAATGTAGATTGATTCATTTCTAATTTTTGCTAGCTCTTTTCTGACAAATATCCAGCCTCCAGTCTGGCATTTGCTGTATTTAGATGAAAGTGGGATTTTAGTCAACCCGGATGATCATCCAACAGATCAAGCTGATAGATGAGCAAGGTAGAAAAGTTGAAGCCTACTGAGAGATTACCAAGCCGGCCATAATTTGTTAAAAAAAGAGAGACCTAATGCTGCACGATTATAGTGTTATCACAAACTAAAATCAGAGGAGGAATGTTGTTAATCACTCTGAAAACCATAAAAGAATCACTGCTTTCTTTGAAACTTGACTCAAACACAATCTTTACTTAAAGCAGGGGCAGAAGATTATATTACTTAAAGTAAGATTGTAAACTTTTAATGTAGTAGCAGCAACACCTAGGGACAAAGTTTCGGATGAAAATCCTTTGAATTTAGAAACACATGAATGAAACCATGCATTCAAACTATTCTCATATTTGAATACTCATGCAAGGCTATTTCTAGAAAAAATGATTTAAGGATTCATGCTAACTGTAAATGTTCTAACTTAGAAAAAAAAAGAAGAATTTTTTACTTTCGTTTTCCATAAAACCTTTTTCAAGTCTGCCAGTACTCACATCTGGTTCTAAACATTTTATGTAGTAGCAGCAGCAAAAGCTAGGGGCAAAATCTCATATTAAAAATCCTTATAAATTAGAAATGCATGAATGAAATCATGGATTCAAATTATACTCATGAAAGACCTATTTCTAAAAAAAAGTGATTTATTGATTTAAGCCAACTCTAAGTGTTCTATCTTAGAAAAAAGGTTCCCTTTCTTTCTTTTTGTATAAACCTTTTCAAGTCTGACAAAGTGCATAGTCACATCTGAAAAGTTGCATATATATATATATATATATATATATATATATATATCATTATAGGTCCAATTTATTTGAATTCGTGCTCCCATGTTTAACAGACATCCTGGTGCTGTCAAAAAAATGTTTGATATTATGTTATATAATGTGATTACTCTTTATCAATAATACCTTCATAAAATCAATCAACTGTCTTGTTGTTGGTATCAGAATGTGTCTGCATTAGTTTCTGAAAAGAGCATTTGTAGCTAATTTGTTGAGTGTGCACGTGAAAAATGTTGGGAGGAAAAATGACTTTCTGCACTATAGTTCATGGTAACTCTCGTTTAATGTGGGTTTGTTTTGATGCTTATGAGTGGACCATGACGGCAAGGTTACTAGTACACAAATTGGGTTTTATGAGGTGACATAGTCGTAAATAGGCATTTTGGAAGGACAAGTATGATATTTGTTAAGTATATAGGTCTAATTCTCATTAACTCTGCATGTCCTCGGAGCAACACTATATTTCATTTTTTATATGTATAAAATTAATTATTATACTCATCAATTGAATGAATGAGATTTTTGCTTTTGTAGCTGTAAATGTTTGAGACCCTTATCTAATTTCTGCTGTGTCATGAAAGCTTCATTACCATATTGATAATAGTTACGTCTATATTTGAGTTTCATTTTCGATGACGAAAGCATTATCTCTAAAAGCTGATGACTAACTTTGGAAATGGTAGATTTATTTACATGGTTGTCAATTTTCCCTAAGGAATCATACAACTATGTTACATAGGAAGTGCTTATTTTTCTCCAATAACATGTATGACAACTTTAAGCAATGGTATGCATGCTAATGAGGTAAGTGCTCTCTGTTGAGGGTATCAGTTGCAAAATCAATTAATTTGTTCGTTCCTACTAAGGACCAATTCAATTGAAACAGCATTCACTCAATTGGTAGGGCATACAAGCTTTTGAAGTATCATTCACGTTGTCCCGGATGAAATGAATATTTAACATAAATGATTGGCAATTATTCTTGATTTTGTTGTTTCAAATACCTGTATTATGTATGTAATGGGATTTCTCAAAGAAAGGTACGTGTTATATTAGATCAGTTGCTCATTATTCATGAAAAGCTAATACAGGCAAACATTTGGCTGATGGACTATTCCCATGTTATTTTCCTTTCATGTGTGATTCCTAGTGTTGTTAGATGATTTATCTTGAAATGCTTTAGAAATTTAATAACTTGGACTTGGATATCAGGCAAAAAGGATTGAGAATGGAGTATATCTGGGGCCTATTGGATGTCTGACTTTTGAGGGCAAATTTTCATGGAAGAACAGAATGTTGGCATTCATTTTTGAGAACATCCGTATAAAGGTTGGGATACTTGGTCCGGTGCAAATTAATCTGGGACAAGCAGAAAGGGAGCCCACTACCAAAGATCCCTTCTTCATTTGGTTGTATATAGATGAGGAAATTGCAGTTGCACAAGGTAGAGGTGGAGGCATCGCATATTGGTGCCGATGTCATCGTGTCACATAGTTAATTTTTATATTCATTTTTGTTCGTAGCCTTGAATGAACTTGAAGTTCATTGAACTTCTAAAGTGTACTCATCTATGTATTTGTGTTCATTCTTAGTCTTGAATGAAGAGAATGAAGTATTGATTCATTAGAATTACGCCCACTTCCTGATTTCAGATGCTCCAACTTTTGTTGTCAAAAGAAGGGAGGCAACTGCCCAGTGCCCTTTGCCGACCATGCTGCTCTTGAGCATTTCATTTGACAGTCTACCTAGTTGTTGGATTGTGGTCATGCATATGTATATATTACCCTATGATTGTCCATGCAATGGCATGCCACAGCTCCGCGGTGGCAGTCGGATGGTTGGAAGATGAGACTGATATTGCTGGAAGCTTTTTATTGACAGGTAGCGGAGATGGGTAGATGATCGACGGGTGGAAGCTTTTTATTTTCTTTATGAGTCTCTTCAGGCCCGGTCGAGTGGGTATTTACTTCTATGCACATGCTCCAGATAAATCTTATCCGTCCAGTATATAAAGGGCTTTCGTGCGTGCTTGGTTACGTTGCTATTCCCTCGCGGCTCACTCAACTCTTTCTCACACAGACACCTGAACTGGTCATGGCGGATTCTCCACGGTCCCTGATCGACGGGAGCACCTTGGCGGCTCTCTCCTTGGCCCGTGCCAGCGTGCAACACATGTTCGGGGTGGTGGGCATCCCCGTTACTGCCGTCGCCACCTGTGCAGTTGCTTCCGGCTTCACCTGGAAGACTGGTGGTCGCTGTTGAATGGGATTCTGGTTTTGGATTCAGTGCCATGGAAGTTGAGGTAAGCTCTCAATTGATGTGCCATGTGCGCATATTGTCATGTTAATTGTGTTATTCTTTGTCCTCTTTATAAAAGACATCCACATATTACTGTATGGAATTTTATCATTAAGTGAAAAGAGAAACATATATAGATCTGCTTTCTTTTTCATCTTTTAAAGTTAAAGTTTATATAATTAATGCATAACTACACAATAACAAATTTCCAATTAAATCCTGACAATACGCTTCCAGTATCTCCTTCGGAAAGTATGTATTGTTCTATTGCATTGGAAGTTCTCATTGGTCTTGGGCGTCTTGCAATGATGATGTCTGCTTGGGTGTATACCAAATATGGGATGGTCTGGTACATAAGGCTCTTGGTAATGCAGGGACTAGGGAGGATCAGACAGGTACACAGTCTTTCCCTAACAGGCAGGGAAGTTATTTTCATGATTTGAGACCTAGTGTACAGGAAAAGAAATTGTTTTCTGTTTGTCACTGGACTTTAAATCATGAATGTGTCATAATCAAATTGTGATTATTTTGAGAATGTAATTTTCTGTGGCAGAGCATGTTTCTATTCACCTATGATTCCATTGATAGTGTTTCATGCTTATATGATCCCAGAGGCAATGCTATCAATTATAGCTGTCTTTGATCTCCATCTCAATATTGAAAGTTGAGTACAAGTTCTCTATTTTCTGATCTTATCTCAAGTCCACTTAACATTTATATAGCTGATCCTTTCCCTGATGTTTGGGGTTTAGTTTATTGGGATACTTGAAAAGTATGTGAGTTCCCTCCTCTTTGCAATTGCTTACATTTTGTCAAGATGATTACTTAATAGCCATCATATGAATTTGAACATTGCATAGACCTCTTGTAATCTTATAAAATTCCTTGCTGATTTGGAGTTTGGAAAATGGTGGAATGTTTATTTTCTTCATGTTTTTTCACTTGCTCAAGATTCTCTTTATCTATGTTCCTCGTATCATGTCAGCCAAAAACCTGTGTATTTGTTTTACCCTTGTTTAATAATCTCAAGTACCTGTTGTATTGTTCATCTTCAGTATGTAGGTACATGTGATAAGTTCAGCTTTGTATTCAACTCAGCACCATATAAAGTTTATGGGATGTTCACATTGCACATCCAGTTTGGATTAGTTTCTCCATCTTTACTGAGTTAAATCTCTTATCATGGCTCTTCAATTTGGGTTGTTGGACATATATCAATCTTCATGATGTCCTTCCTGGTGAATGGAAACATGTTTATAAACAACAAGTATAGTGTCATCTTAGTAAGGTCTATGGGTAGAAGCTACAAAGCAACTTGGTTATGGTTGGATGTGAACATTGTATGAGGTTTATTCTGTATTACCAGTTCATTTTTTACTTATCACTCATGGTATCAATTTGCTTTAGAATATTTTAATGATTAATGTTTCCTGTAAATGGACAACACCTCGTATCACTTGTAGTTACCATGAGTTCGTCAAATACTTTTGGTGATGTCATGTATCTGCTTGTTTGAAATAATATTGTATTTTTTCTTTTGCTCAAGCAACTTGACTAAGCATGTTTATTTGGATTTTTTGTTGTTGTTATACTGAGGTTCCCCTTTTCTGGTAGTGTTAGTTAATAATTGGCTGCTCATATCATTTTGAATTTTTCTAACTATTCCTCTTAAGAACCTTGCAGACACTAGTGAGATATCAGTTTCCAGTTGTCCTAATCGTATTCAACAATGTGGTGGCGTATATGGGGGTGACAGAAGATCCCCTGGTGAAATTACTGGGCCATACAAAGATGACCCTGGCCCTACATTTGTTCCACATTCAGCATACCATTCCCTAATTGAAGCTTTTGGTGGGAAAGGTTATCGAGCTGGAACTCCTGAAGAACTCAACTCTGCACTTTCTGAATCTTTTTCTGCTCGAAAACCAGCCGTTATCAATGTTATAATAGATCCGTATGCTGGTGCTGAAAGTGGGAGATCGTAGCACAAAAATTAAGCCACCTTCAACATTCTTACACAAGTAAATCATCTCTGCCATTCATATAATTGTTGGTTGCATGATTCTGCCATTTAATGTTGTCTTTGTCTCAATGTGCTTTTAATAGACGCAACCTTATCATCTGTTAGCAACGTAGATAACAGTGAGAGGAACACTATTGTGTCTTCATTACCTCCTCTCCTGCTCTTATATATAATTTGAATCTAACCTTGCAAAATTGTTAGTCCTGTGTTTTTTGAAACATAATAATAATTGTTATCATTTACATTAGAAATTGACACTGCATGCATGGCCTTGATTAGTCCTGTGCAAGTATTAAGTTTATTCTAGTACTTTCTTTCTAAATCTTAAAACCCAATTCTGAATGTCATGCTAGTTTATAAAATATGAATAGATTCCAAGGATACAAGAAACATTCTGTATAGAGTAAATTACGATTAGATGAAACTTAGCTTGATTAGGACTCAGACATGTATACATCAAATAATAGTCAATAATTTCTCTGTCTTGTTTCATTTTTAATGGCATGATGCTGAACATGTCATGTTATCATGTCTGTGGGGATCGTAGACTTGAAAGCTCTATCCTTGGTCTTCATAGCCAAAACTCAGTAAAACTGAACAGGGGATGACGGAACTCATTAATGTTTCCTTTATTCTCCAGGGTAGATCAGATTATGATGTGGAATTTGTTTTTTCACCTGTCTGTGGCCAACATTTATCTCTTTCTTCTTTTTTTTTTTTTAACTGGCTCATTTTTTTTCCATGAACCTTGGCTCTTTATATCCAAACTTATCTATATGTCAACAGGAGTTCTTCCTCTTAAATTTTTTTAGAATTCCTTTAATTAAAAAAAAGTCACACAGGGACTGCTTTTCTAGACAAAATCGGAAAAATAAATCTCTATCATACGCGGGTTGGTTTTTTAGGCCAAATTATGTACTGGTGTTTCTAATTTCTTTCTTCCTCCAAAGGTTTTCATTAACTTAAGCGGCTTATGATTTGCTTTCTTTTATATAAGATTGAATCGACACTACATTTTTCAGGGCGGCATTATGATTGATGATGTTGTGCCTATAAATTGTAGTAAAAATGTTGCACCGTTTCTTCTGCAGAAAAGCTCCAAAACAAGCGAGGAGTCAATTTCAAGAATTGGTCAACGCTGATGGGTTGGTATTCTAGAAACAAGTTGAGCAAGAGACGTACCGATATTGCCTCCTACAGATCTACCCTGGAACAAGTCATGACAACTACTGACAGATCCCAGTGCTTATATTTAATTGATTTGTTTTGCTAGTCTAATTCAGGGCAAGATTCGAGACTCTAGACGGACACTATTGTCCTGAGTTAAATAATTTCTAGATAATTATATATAAAGTTTCATTATATCATTATTTTTTTTCAAATTTAAGAAAAATATTATTGATTAGTATTTTATTATTATTTTTTTAAATTTAAGAAAAATATTATTGATTAGCGTATATATTTGATGGTTAGTAGGAATAAGTTTATTGGTTTTATATGTAGATAATATTTTACTTGCGTGATTACTAATAAGATATTTCTCACCAAAAATTTTAAGATAATTCATGATAATTCATATGAATAAGATAATATATATTATTGGTATTGAGATATTTAGGGATATATCTCACGGATTATTAAGATTATCTTAAAAAGAATATATTAATTGAGGTATAGTATGCAATTTTATTTAGTTAATGATATATTTATTAGATTCAATTAAAGTTATTGTCTTAACAATGACTTAGAAAAGAATCAAACTATGGATATTCTTTATATATACATAGTTTGAAGTATATTATATGCTTAAATTTGTATTTGTACGAGACCAAATATTAGTTTTATAGTTGGAATGTTAAGTAAATACCATAATACTCAAGAATGGAACATTATAAAACTATTAAAAAAATGATGAGATATTAGCAAAAGATGATGAAAGACTATCTACTGATATATAAAAATTCATATTAGTTTGAAATAATGATATTTTTATATGTTGATTTTATATATTATCTTTATAATAATAAGTTTACTTTACTATTTATATTTATATCAGGTGGAGGCACAGTTTACAATAATAGTATAATACAAATTATAGTATCGATAACACAAGCTAATTTAGTAGTATGCTTTAGGGTCACTAATTAAGTTTTTGTGAAATTTTATTTAGGACTTAGTGTAGTCAAACTTAATTATCAAGTTAGAATATACTTTGTGACATATCATAATACATTTTCTCTTTAAGAATAACAAGTGTTATAATAGTTTTAAAATATAAGGTGGTTAGAAAATGAGTTCAAAAATAATTAATGTCAATTAAGAACTTTAATTCCATTGTATTGATTGTTGATCTATTAACTTAAGTCTTACAACATAAAGTATTTTAAAAAAATATGTTCTTATGATTAAGTTTATGAGTAACTTATAAATGATATAGTGATGCATATTTAAGTAGACATTATAACTAATATTTTTATTTTCGTAATTAAAACTATTTATTTCTATTATTCTGTTTATATTTATATTTATATATATTATAGTTGAATATAATAATATGATTATCTTGACAAAATAAATTATTAGTGTTATTATGAACTATATTAGGAAAGACTATTAGTATATAAAAGAGAGTATAACTTTGATTACATATAATCACTATAACTCAAATTGCTAATTAGACTTAATGTATTATTATTATATCTATTAGATTTATTTTTTATTTTAAAATTCATGACCCTATATAAAATACTTTTTAAAATATTTCAGAATTCAATTAGATAAAATTATTATTAAATATATTTTTTAATTTTTTTTTTATTAATTTTAATTTTAATTTTCTTTCATATATTATCAATTATGTTGCCTTAGGTAAGATATATAGTTATTGGTCAATAGAAGTGAAGTCTAATTATAATAGATTTTCTTAAGAGATGATTTTGACAAGAAGGACTCTCATAATTATTATCATAGACCTCATATAAATGACATAATCGATTATTGAGATTATAGATTTATTATTAATCTTCTTTAGTCCATAATCCATCGCTTATAATAATCCTAATAAAGATAAAAAGAGAAGTGAAGTTTTTTTTTTTTTGATAAGTTTTTTAAAATTATTTATTTTGATAAGTATAAAAAGAGAAGTGAAGTTAATTTAGTTCTTACAATGATATACTTATAAAGGTTTACTGAGGCACACATCTTAAATATTGATCTATCGTTATTTAATTATAATTTTAATATTAATAATTAAAGTTTTTTTTAAAATAATAATAAATATAAATATAATTTTTTTATATTTAAAAATTATTTATTTAACATGAAAATATATTTTCTTTGTACAGAAATAAAAGTTATTGGATTCCATGGGGGGTACCTTCAACCAAAATAAGCACCATAGTCTCGGCTCTTTGCACACCCCATCTCGCACCACCGACGCCGACTGCATCACAGCAGCCATATTGTATCGTCACAAAACCGACCTGATTTAATTTAAGATGGAATTTAAGTTAAGTTCACGTGCTTCGTAAATACAAATTAATTGGGGATGTCAGAGTCGCAGCTATTAACGACGCCTTTTGGATGCTGTTTCTCAGATTCCACTGTGGACGGTCCACAGTTCGTTCTATTCATTCCGCCCCGTCAAGTACTAGTGAATTTCCACACACTTAGTTGCCCTCCGGAGAATATTTCAAACAGGACACCCTTACGCTGCGATCCATCCATCCATCCATCGTCGAGTCAACTCTCCATTGCTCAGAAACTACGCAGCCTATCTATCAAATATTGGTCAGGCCTACGCTTGGGATACCAAAAAGCGGAGAGACAGAGAGAGGAAAAGTCTGGTGCCATGTCTGCCAATACCGCATGGGGTAGCTCGGAGGAAAGCACCATCGTCGACTGACTTCGTGCGGAGTGGTTGATGCCTAATAATTTGCCCCTCTCTCTCTCTCCCTCCGCGACGACGATGATGATGCTGAGGGTCTTGTCCAGGTAACCGGGAATCGTCGCAGCCTGAGTTCTAAGTTCAGCAAGAGGATGGGGAGCCAGGCAAAGTTGTTGAGGAGCTTCACCAGGGTAGAACCTAAGACTCTGAGTTTTGTCATCTTCGCGGGATGCTTTCTCATCTCCATGGCCCTTCTTGCGGTGTCTGCCGGCTCTCTTGTCTCTCTTCCAAGTCGTGAGTTAAATCTTTCCCATGATCCTCGTCGTCATCGTAGATGTTCCTTTCTGCCGGTCTCAGCCGGAGCTTCTAAACACAAGTTGATCTTGGCTGTTTTTGCAGTGAGTTCGTGGCTGTCAGCTCACACGACTCCTCCTGTCTCTGGGGCCCAAGAAAATCCCGGTCCTCATCACCCACATCCAGGTAAGCCAATTCTCGAATACCTTCTCCTCTCGAATCACCATGAACATAGTTGTTCCAAGACCCTTTTGCTTGCGTTGGGACCTAACAATCTTAGGTACGCACGTAGTTTTAGGGAAAACAAAAAGAAAAAAAAGATCTCCAGACAAAACAGTTGTAAATTTCCACCATATGTAGTAGCTGAGATCGATGATCGTCGTGTTTTACCATCTCGACGCTTCTCTTTTGCTTTCTAGTGTTGCGGTAATCAGTCCATGATCAACACTTTTGTTTTGCTTACGATGAAGAAGATATCGAACATCTCAGTTAGGAAAAGGCAGGTTTTCCAAATTTCGTAGCATGTGGAGACGGATTTCCACGCGGCTCTTCTCAAATTTAAGAGACCCAAATTCGGGGAAGACCAAAGGACAAGACTATTGGGGTACTTTCAAAGGATCCGATGGGCAAATTCACTCATGGATCTTAGTATATTATCAACTAACGACCGTATCCAATGGGCGAATTCACTCATGGATCTAAATAAAATTACCAACAACAGATCGAAATTCTTATGATAAGTTCCTAGTATTTTAATCTTAATTGTCTGGTTGCAGAAGTTGGAACCGACAGAAATGAGGAGCCACAGAGAAAGCCCTTGTGCGATACGTCGGACCGAAGAGCAGATATTTGTGACATGGAGGGCGATGTCAGGGTCCGTGCTACCTCCTCATCCGTCTTCTTTGTTACTTCCTCGGATCGGAACGCTTCGGAACTCCAGCAATCATGGCGGATCAAGCCTCATCCTCGGAAGGGAGACCATGCTGCATTATCTCGTCTCACCGAATTGTCTGTAGGTTACTTGACTACTCACCAAGAAGATGTTCCCAAATGCGACGTCAAGAGCTCGGTTCCGGCCATCATCTTTGCGACCGGAGGTTACATGGGCAACTTCTTCCACGAAACCACCGATCTGGTCGTCCCCCTATATATAACATCGCATAAATTCGATGGGGAAGTTCAGTTTCTGATAAGTGACATGCTCCCGTGGTGGATCGCCAAATACGAACAACTACTGAAGAAGCTTTCTCGTTATGAGATCATCGATTTCAACAGGGATCCTCTGGTTCGTTGTTATCCTCGAGTCATAGTGGGCATCACGTTCCACAAGGACATGAGCATCGATCCTGCAAGATCTGGTGGTGTCACCATGTTTGACTTTGGGCGATTTATAAGGAGCGCCTACTCGCTGGAGCGGGAGACAGCGATCGTGCTGGGGGAAAAGCAAGAGGAGAAGAAGAAGCCAAGACTCGTAATTATCGCGAGGAAGAGCACAAGAAAATTCAGCAACGTCGATGAGATCGCTCGAATGGCAGAATGGCAGGGCTTCGAACCTGTGATAGCGGAGATCAAGAAGAACCAAAGTTTGGGGGAATTTGCGCGCGTAGTGAACTCATGTGATGCTATGATGGGAGTGCACGGCGCCGGGCTCACCAATCTTATATTCCTTCCCACCAATGCGGTAGTAATTCAAGTCGTTCCTCTGGGTGGATTGGAGACGTACTGTTGGTCCGACTACGGAGTGCCGGCGTTGGAGATGAAGATGAGGTACTTGCAATACAGCATCAGTGTCACGGAGAGCTCGCTGGTGGACAGGTACGGCATTACCGATCCGGCGATCACAAATCCGCAAGCCATTCTGGCTCAGAAGGATGGTTGGCGGAATTGGACCTCTATATACTTCTTCAATCAAGATGTAAGGCTTGACGTGAGCAGATTCAGTAGCATTCTCGTACATGCTCGCCAGCTTCTTCATCGGTAGGAAGACTGTTTACTCTGAAAGATTCCACTTCGTTGTGATTTGTAGAGATCGATCGAGAAGGGAGGAGAAATGATGCATGCAACACTTGGCCGTCGTCACACCTTGTGATCCGTGTGCATGTGGACTTGCCATGGGGCGGTGCATTTTGACTGAGGCCATCGTCTGTCCCCTCATTATAAACCTCATTTACCACATACGACCAGAAAACTCCAAGCCGCGGGTGCACAGGCGACAGACCTTTTTGGAATCAATCTGACGTCTCCGGTAGTCGTAAAACGTACGTGACGCCACCAGTCGTCTTGAACATACATTGCGAGAGCTTGCGACTGACCCTACCAACACCCTACGATCCTTATTTTTGTCCCATGACACAAAGCTATCAGTCCTGCTATAGAAAACCGACAAGATTGTTATCTAGCGATTTGGGTAGGAGAAGTCGATTCATATTGTAATGAAACTTATATAGCTGAAGCTGAAGTTGAAGGAAGGCAAACTTTAATGCTACATGTATGTATCAGACGTCTCGAGGCTTATCGATCAGCACATGTGCTACCGTGTGGTTTATAACACATGAGTTCCATGTTGATTTCTGGATCTGAATCTGTGTTTCTGCGTCAATAGTTGATGTTGATACAGACCACATTAATTCACCAACAAAGTGATGGAAAAACAAAACAAAAAGAGAGAGAGAGAGAGAGAGAGAGAGGAGAAGGTGATGCATCATTTTGTTGATTTATTAATTAGACAAACATAATAAACTTAGGAGACAGCTAACAATGTGTTTGCTCCACAATTTAGGGATGGTCTCGTGCATTAGTTAATTGGCACCGCTGCCCAACTTGACCCAACTTTAAACAATGTTCTTTCTTCGATAATTGCATTCGAGAACAACTCATTCACGGAGATTTAAACGAGTCATGGACGGACGCCATTGGAATATTATCACGTTAGATCACAAGCTACGTGATTTCCTCATCCACCATTGCACGAAATCATACTTTTTTATATTTTATTCTTTCTTTGTCGGCTGCAGAAGTCAAATTACAACCTCATTCGTGAAGAGACGTGCGCAAGCAGAGTGGACTGGCAAACTCCAGATCTGGAGAAAGTAATTTATGATTGGTACAGACAACAGATCATCACCACCATTATAGAACACACTAATGAAGCTTCCTCTTTGGATCGATCTCTATGCAACTACGACAAACTGGCTGTCGCAACATAGTTCGATAGCTAGCTCAGCTCCATCAAAGGAGAATAGAGAAGAGAAGCCAATGCGAGGATGACATATATCATAAATACCACATTAATTTCCTTCATTTATGTACTCTTTTGGTATTAAAGCCTTCTCCTCCTACGAAGTTATCGAAGTCCAAAAACGATATCAATTATTTTGATATATATTTTACTATGAAATTATTTGTCAGAAGAAATAGTCTCAATTTATGACAAACCTCGTGAACGATGTTCTGACTCAACAAACGAGGGAGAATACATAATCCTCAAAGAGATACAAATCTTAGACAAAGTATAGCTTAACCTGGTTGATGAATCGAGTTGTCTGTCCGGAGAATGAGGGGAAAATACTTTTCTTAGGCGTTAAGGTTTATTATTTTACAAAATACTTTTATGTATTTATTTATATGTGGTAAAAGGGGAAAAAGAAATAGTCGGATTTTTCTGATGGGTTGAGAGAAAAATAAATAGATGCATATAAATAATACGTAAGCGGAGAACACATAGCGTACGATGGCGATGGCGATGGCTCGGCGGTGGTGGTGAAAGTAGAACCGTAGCCAAACATGGTTTGGACATGCATGCCTCACGGCTGATCTCGAGTGGAATTCAAGGAAAATGAAGCCGGTTTTGTGTTCCCAAGGCATCCCCGATGAGAGAGGGAAGGAAAGCAAATGCGCCCCGCTGTCCGGGCATCTATTACTGCCAAAAGGGACCACTTGCATCCTCTCTCGGTAGGGAACCTCCCTGGGGACCTCTATCGAGAACAGGAGCTTATATGAGAAGCAGCCGACGACGGACATTAGCATTCATGGCGCATCCAGTTAGGTAGCTTTCATTGTATTTTATTCTAGTTGACAAGAAGCCAAGGGTGAAATAAGCCAAAAGTAAAAGGCAAAAGGAAGCACGATGATCGTTCAATTATTGGAAGGTGTCCAGCTAAAGTTCAAACTCCACGTCGAAATTGCAGTGTGGCTTGTATCATACATCACTAATGAGATTTTTGATTGCCATAACGTGATTTTGCTTGTCCTATTCTTCTTATTTTGGGTGTGGGTTGCTGCAGTTAACATGCACATCATGTTTCTCTTTTCTTTTTAGTTAAAAGGATATGATCATCCAAAATTTCTCACCTTCAATTAAGTTTTTATCGTCACCTCTCTCTCTCTCTCTCTCTATCTTTTCATATATATATATATATATCACGGGTTCATGAATCAGATCCTGTAGGAAGGGCAGTCAATCACCGGTCAGTGATAACATTGGGAAGAGGAAAAGCTACGGTAAGAAATCTTTTTACATTTTTTGTGAGCAATTACCTCTGCCACACATGTGAGCAATTATCTCAGCATTCTAGATTTGTTTTCCTTATTATTTTTATTGAAACACCAATTTGGTTTTTCCTTTTTGAGGGAAGATGAGAAAACATTATACATATCCTTAACCAATCATATTAAACCTCTCACGTTCAGGATTCTCCAGTCTAAGCGAGCTTTGGAATAATAATAATAATAATACTAATAATAATAATAATAATAATAGTCAGCGGCAGCAGCAGAAATGGGTGGAGTAGAAAATGTTCTCAAGAAGGAAAGAGTCTAGTCTATAGCTTCTTCTCGAGGTAGAAGAAGAGAGTGGCTTGCTGTGAGTTCCACACGGCAGCTCTCTGGTCGAGCGATCTGATATCTATTTCTTCAGCTGAAACTTGGGGCTTCAGAGATACGCGGAAGATGGGGCTTAACAAGACCATAGTAAGGAACATGAGCCGGATCGAAGCGCGGAAGCTCGGCTTGGCGTTGCTGGTAGGATGTTGCATAGTCATACTGACATATTTCGTTTCCATGTCGGAGACCACCGGTGAGTCTCTCTTGCCTTCTCAGCAAAGAATCCTTTTCTTCTCTACTTCCAGAGGTTGATGAGGTGCAAGCAAACGAAGCAAGTAGACTATCTGGGGGAAGCAGCAGCATCGTCTTAATATCTTGCGACTCTTGTTTTGCAGTTGATCAGCAGCTTTCTGTAGCGTACAGGGTTGGCACTGTCGAGGTGGTGGACGGCAAAATTAGTCTACAGAAGCCAGGTCAGAAATCATACAAATTCTGGCTATCGCTTGTTTGGTAGGGTTGATTGAATCTTTGTTGTTGGGCTGGTAATGTCGCCGTCATTAGAATCTGCATAAATCATCAACAACAATGCACGATCGTTGGGACTCGTGAGTTCTTCAAGAAACCTCTGGCTTGTTTTCGGAGAGAAAAAGTGGAAAAAGAAACGAAGGAGAAAGATCTCTGTTTCTGGGAACACGCCCAAGTTCTGATCTCAATACACATTGAGCAAAAACGATTTAAGGATTTGATTTTTGATTTTAATTAGAGTTTCATTTAGATCTTATTTCTCAATGTAACAGAAAGATTAAGGAAAGCGGAGGGTGGACATGGAAATACTGCAGAGGAGAAGGTCCACCGCACCAATTTTTCTGCTATTTCCCCCATCACTGCCAAGGAAGAGAAAAGAGAGTCCGAGAAACCAAGTAAGCTTCATCGTTTGACCATTAATTAGCAACTCAGATATGATGATTCATGTGCTGAGTAACGAGTTTAGTCTTGCAAGTTTTCATTTAAATTGCACAGACATGTTTAATGTTGTTCAGAAGATGAAGAGATTCTCCCTCCTAAACGAGAGGCTGAAAGGTCTCAGACGATGAAGCCCCAAGTGGTGGAGCCGATATGCGATTTCTCGGATCCAAGAACGGAATTCTGTGAGATGAAAGGCGACGTTCGCATCCACGGGAAGTCTTCGTCGGTGGTGTTTGTTTCTCCGCACCAGCGAAGCAACGAGTGGAAGATCGTGCCTTACGTCCGAAAGCAAATGGGAAACGTGGAGAAAGTATCGGTTAGAACAGCGAGCAGCCCCGGAGGCGTCCCCGAATGCACCATCAATCGATCCGTCCCCGCCATCGTGTTTGCGCTGGGTGGATTCACGGGAAACTACTACCACGACTTCACCGATGTGCTGCTCCCTCTGTTCTTGACCGCACGGCAATTCGACGGAGAAGTCCAGTTTCTCATCACCAACATTCAAGTTTGGTGGCTCCACAAATACGATCCGATTATTAAGAGGCTCACGCGATACGAGTTCGTCGATCTCGACGACAGCAATCAGGTCCTCTGCCACCCACATGTGATGGTCGGCCTCCGCTTCCACAATGACTTGACGATACAACCTACACGAGCTCCCAACGGGTATTCTATGCTCGACTTCACCGCGTTTTTGAGGTCGGCTTACTCCTTGCAGAAAGCGCACGCCATCAGCTTGAGGGAACACCCCGACAGGAAGCCGAGGCTTCTCCTCGTAGCGAGGAACGGTACTCGAAGGTTCACCAACGTGCCGGAGATCGTCCAAATGGCTGAGGGGTTGAACTACGAGGTGGTGCGTGCGGACGCAGACTTCGGGGACGTGGCTGGGTTTGCCGGTGTGGTGAACTCTTGTGATGTGATCATGGGTGTGCACGGTGCCGGGCTCACCAACCTCGTGTTCCTGCCCACGAATGCGGTGCTCATCCAGATAGTGCCTTGCTGCGAGCTGGAGGGCATGGCCACGCACACCTTTGGATTCCCGTCCATGGGAGCCGGGCTGAACTACTTGGAGTACAACATCAGCGTGGAGGAGAGCACACTGTCAGAGAAGTATCCCAGAGAGCATCCCGTGTTTACGGACCCTCAGTCGCTCCACAAGCAGGGATGGTTCAAGATGGGGAAGATCTACTTGGTTAAACAAAACGTAAAGCTCGATGTGAACAGGTTCAGGCCTTTCTTGGTGAGAGCCATGGACCTTCTCGGTCGCTAGAATGAACACTGTACTGTTAGGTGTGCTGGGTGGAGTTTATTTTCTTTCTTCTTCTTCTTTTTGTTGATCGATCATACCATACAGTCGTTCCTCGCCGCCAATGGTTTGAGCCGCCTTCTTGTTCTGAGCTAAAACCTAGTCTTTATTGAGACTATTATTTTACTTTTTGCTACTCTCACTGTTTTTTACTTTGTGAATCTTATCTCAAATTGGTTGTGTGGAGAGTGACAAAGTGTCGCGGCAGAGAATGAACAGGATTTTTGTTTTTGTTTGGTTCCAAAAGAAAAGGAGAAGAAAACTTTGACAAAGCAAAAAAAACTGGATCCATATGGCCCATTTTAATGTCCTCCTTGGAATTCTCTACACCGTCAAGTAACATTCATGGCTTTTTCGTACTGTCAAACATCTAATCGAACCTCAAGTTTGTAATGGTTGGAAGAAAATAGGAAATAAAAAAAGAGAAATAAAATAAAAAAATCTAGGCTGCTAGCAGGTTGAAAGATACGGCACAACGTCCACGCTAGCGACATGTGAAAAATGAGTTGGCATCTTCCCGACCGGCAAACCATGAGGTTGATGTCACCATCTCCGTATTTGAGATATTATTATTATGTTGTTCTCTTGGTAAAATAGAATAAAAATTTCTTATTCTGTGTGGATCCGCTGAATTAAGTTGATCTCCGCACTCAACGCAATTGGCCATCTGCAATAATTTAGCTGTAAAACTTGGAACTCCCCTCGGATCGCAAGCACTATTATAGCCGACACAAACATTAAAAAAGAGGTGCAGGCAGCAGGTCCTGCTGATTGGGTACCTCTCCACTCCACTCGGTTCCTTCCCCCCCCCCCCTCTGTGAGTTCCACAATTTCTCCTCCTCTTTTCCATCCAGTTGTCTTCTGATTTGCGGAGTTCCGCTCACAAGTTCTGCAGCCACGGCTTGTGCTTACCATACCGCAAGGAGAGAATGAAATCCCAGTGAGAATAAGAGGGGACGAAGGAAATGGCGAAGGCGTTCAGGAACCTTAACCGCCGAGCGAAGCCTCAGAAATATGGCGTGGCATTGGTTGCGGTGTTCATTCTGGTGGCGCTGACCTACGTTACGAGGACGAGGACTACCAGCATGCGCTTCTCTCTTGGTAACTCGCTGTTCCTTTTTCGACTAGATCTGCCTGCCATCAGCTCGAGTTCTCTCACAGCTTAATGGTGTAGCGGCAACATGGCAGCTACAACCGTCGTCTGTCTTCTTTGCACACACAAAAATACTTCTTTGAAGGTAAACCCAATTTTGGGGTGTGGAATCTCAGATCTTCCTATTTCGACCCCCAATTTCTTGATTTTTTTTTTTCTCTTTCTGTTTCTCTCAAGTTTATCTGATCTCTTCTCGGGACAATAGCATCTTCGATTTGGAAAAGGAAGTTAAAAACAAGATGTAAACAGAGGGATCCCCCGAGCGAAGACGACCTCTGTTTCCGAGAGGATTAGATAGAGTTCCTTGGTCCTTCAATTTGATCTTTCAGCCTCATTTTTTTGTCGCATCAAAACAAGTTCCACAGCAGTAGTACTGATTATGGGTAGTCAGTAAAAGTCCCCACCTACCACATGCATGGATTGATTTATTGTCCAACCGCAAGATTTGGTGAAGGACTGAGGCCACCGACCCGGTTGCATAAATCCCCATCTCAGCATCTTTCGATGGTGTTCATCACACGGAAGAAGGAACAGACACCGATAAGATAATTTCCGTATCGATGGTGTTCATCTTTGACTGATTACTTCCATAAACCCGAAGATTATTGTTTTTGATTTGTTTTTCTTGTTCTTGTCGGGGAAAGTAGTCGGATGTCTAGATCGAGCTTCAGAATTCTAAATCAAATTGTTGCTGCCCGTTTTTGCAAAGGTGGATTTGTGACGCCTGAGAAGAAGCCCATTTGTGATACGTCCAACAGGAAATCCGACATCTGTGAAGCAGACGGCGATGTTAGAATCATGGGCAAAGATACCAGGATGGTGTTTGTCGCCGGAGGAGGAGGAGGAGGCGAATCGTGGACGATCAAGCCTTATGCTCGTAAATGGGACGCCGGATCAGGTGCTCGTGTTCGGGAGGTGACCCTGAAACTGGTCGATGGGTACGCCCAAGACAGGCGCTGCTCCGTCAACCACACCGTCCCTGCAATGGTTTTTGCGATCGGTGGATGGACCGGCAACTACTTCCACGACTTCGTCGACGTGCTTGTGCCTCTCTTCGAGACCGCCTACCACTTCGGCGGCGAGGTCCAGTTTCTCATAGCCAACCTGAACCGGCCATGGATGGACAAGTACCAACTCTTCTTCAAAAAGCTGTCTCGGTATGAGATCATCGAGTACGACGACGACGACGCCATCCGTTGCTTCAAGCATGTGACCCTGGGCCTGAGATGCACCAGCGCCGAGGACTTCCAAATGGAGCCCTCCAAATCGCCGCACGGGTACACCATGTTCGATTTCGCCAAGTTCGCCAGAGGCGCCTTCTCCCTCGAGAGAGACTACGCGTCGAGGATGGGTGAAGAGGCCGACAAGAAACCAAGGCTGATGGTCATAACCAGGGCCACGACACGAAGATTCATGAACGTGGAGGAAATTGTGAGGATGGCGGAAGAGGTGGGCTACGAAGTCGTGGTCACGGAGGGAGATCCTGACGTCTCCAAATTTTCGCGCATCGTCAACTCCTGCGACGTGTTGATGGGTGTTCACGGATCGGCGCTGACCAATATGGTCTTCCTGCCTACGAATGCTGTGGTGATCCAAGTAGTGCCATGGGGTAATCTGGACTGGATCGCCGGCCATTACTTCAGGGACCCATCCGACCAAATGAAGCTGAACTACCTGGAATACAGTATCAGCGAAGAGGAAACCACTCTCACGGAGCTGTACCCGAGAGAGCACGCGGTGTTCAAGGACCCCATGTCGTTGCATCCTCAGAACGCGGATTGGGACACCTTCTCCAGGATCTTCCTCAAGGAGCAGAACGTGAAGCTTGATGTGACAAGGTTTAGGGCTTACCTGGAGCGTGCCCTTCGGATCCTCCGCCACCGGCGGGGAGAATGAGGTGAAAGATGAATATATTATTAATTATTGTTTTATTTTCAGGAGTTTAGTTTTCCAATTTATTCTTTTAAACTGTGGACAATGTTAAAATCTGAAGAGAGGGTATGATGGATGGCATGTCGAGCGATCGCAGATGAGCTGCTGCTCGTCCTCTTTATCTTCTCGGTCAAAAGAGAAGATTGGGAGCTATAAATATCCTTGACTGGGCTTTTCTTTTGAGGAACGTCGTCTTTTTATTTTGTATACGAAAGTTGTCTCCCGTCTTTAATGACTGGCGCACTGCTCCCGATCATCCCGTGCCTCTCCAAAAGCTGACTCGTCTTATTCTAATCTCGATTACGTTCGTAGATGATGGATGATGCATCGATCTACGTGTATCCATTGATTATAATAAGTTTGGGTGTATCCTTGAAATAACAAGACTCGCCCTTGCCGATTATTCAATTACTCACACGGCTATGTGTATTTTCGTGACGTGATTAAATATTAAATTTAAATAACGATAGAATAATTTTATGATACGCAGCTTTCGGTGTCATTTAAAAAATCTTTATTTGATGTACAAGCGTATTGTCATCAGATCTAAAAATTATATTATAATGATGTTAATAGAATTAGACTAGTATTTTTTTTTTCTTTATTTTTTTACTAGAACAATAGAAGACCTATAATATCTTGAGATCTTACCATTTATAATCTAAAGAAGATGTAATTAGGAGAATCCATCCTTTCAATTCATGTCCTAAGGAATCATATTATAATTAAAATTTTCTTCTATTTAGAATACATCTTAATTAGATAGTGTCACATATTCTAACATTCTCTTATTTAACCTATTAGTTAGTAAGATATACAAAATAAAATCAAAATAAATAAAATAAAAGTTTATTTAAAATAATTTTACTAAAAAAATTAAAAAAAATATTTTATATGTGTATACGAATTTTATAAAATAAGTTAATAAGTCAAATAAACATAATTCCAATGCGAGTCAGTGTTTGTATGTCATTAATATCATACTTTCTTTTGTATACCACAACACTATTAGTTTTTCCTAATCTAATTCAAAATGACTTATATAATTTGTGATGATTCTATTATATACACTCAATTAAAATACGTATATACATAAACGTATATAAAATATTAAAATAAATAACATTAATTACTTAAACAAGAATATCAATTAGAATATCGACTCAAACGTGTATCATTATATCTTGAGCTAATTACAAACTGTCCCCTATAGTTAACTATCTTTAGTCTCATGATCCTTTTACTTTAAAAAGTTATATTAACATACTTGTAGTTACGAAAGTGAAATAATTATGTCAATTTACTCTAACAACATCAATTTTATCAATGAAAACATGAAAATAAGAGGTAAAAAAAAATTTTAACGTTCGATAGTGAACGACATCAATGGTAGAAGATGACGCCGCTGGCATCGGTGGTGGTAGACCCCTCTCCCACGCTAACAGTTACCTATTTGTCCTCTATCAGTAGCTTTGCATTCTATCATTTTAGAGAAAAATTTTCATAATGATAATTAAGAGAACCCCCTTTTATCAAGATTATCTCTTAAAAAATTTTAAAATTTTTTTATTAACCAATCGTAATCAGAATACAGACCGATGTAGACTCATAGACAGATATTAGGAAATCGAAACTTGCAAGTCACCTTGTAAGTTGGAAGATTCAGTGCATCCGGCTCCATGAGCAACATGTTGAGGATGCGATGAGTGGTGTTGCTGAATGATGTCGGTGGCAGATTTAGAATGGTTGACCAACTCAAGACCGACATCAAGTTGGTTTTCAAGGTGGTCCCTTTAGATGTTAGATGTTAGATGTTAATCATCAGCGATCGCAGGATGGTGTCTGTTGCTCCATCCTCAGTTTGGCCATGACGAAAGAGACAAACCTTATGTCTCGTTTTTTTGCTACGGGCGGATGGATGGTCACAGCGGAAGACTTGTTCCGTAACTTAGTTATGCCGTCGTGCTCGTTCCCAGTTTCTCGTTGCAAACGTGAAGCCGTCATGGATGAAGAGGAGGTACCCACTGTTTGAGATCATCGAGTATGACGACGACGACACCATCCGTTGCTTCAAACATGCTATCCGTGGCAGATGTAGCAGCATTGTGGGATTTTCATACGGAGCGCTTCGATGTTGGGCTGACAGCTTATAGTGGGTTCAACCCATTGTGAGCTTTATCAATCCATAGTCCACACACCTTTGATCTAACCTTAGATCAATAAAAGGAGATATGGTGGTTGCGTTTTAAGCGTAGGTGACTACGTTTTTGGGAGAAAAATTATAGCAACGTGGTGATCTTTGCAACAGCAAAGAAGAGTAGAAAAAAAGTAAAAAAAAAAGAGAAAGAAAGGGAAGAAAATAAGGACAACGCAATAGAGAGATTGTTCTCAATGATCTAGCAGTGTTCTCATCTCAGGTTAGATCAAATATATAATTGACTTTTGCTGTGATTACTTGAGGAGGTTTTAGATATTGTGAACAGTGACGTGATCCTTGTATCCCAGATATTCTCTTGTGATTGTTGCTAGGGTTTAGGGCAAGATATTAAGATTTGTATATTCATTATTCTCATAATACATTATCTCTAGTTCGCCTCGTGATTTTTACTCTTCGCATTGGAGGGATTTTTCACGTATATCTTGGTATTCTATTTGATTATAATTTCATTTAATTTCGCTGTGTATTATGATCTATCATGTATGTCATACTATGTACTAGTCCGCATGCTCTGAGTGTCATAAACAGGTATCAAGCGGATCTAGGCTTGGAGCACTCGGGAAGCTAGTTAGCCTTGCTTTTGATGATAGAAGGCTTGAACTCTGTAATTAGAGCTGTAAAAACATCATTTACTTTGTTTTCATGCGGGCGTGGCAACGTTAGGTACTAACCACGTTTATGCAAACAGGTAGCTGCATGGAAATTCGGCAGCACGTCTACGCAAAAGTAAACCATTTTATTTGCTGGGCTTTTCCTTAATTAGTGAGGCTTCCAAGCATCATTAGCAACTCATTGAACTCTTTTATGGGTCTACTATCATTTTTTCTTTTATGGGTCTATCATCATCCCTGCGACTCATTTTCTTTCAACTAAAATATTCGAGAAATATAAATCTATTTTAAATAACCAAAGAAAGCGACCACAATAAATATCGTATGGGATCCAGTTTTTTTCTTAGATGACTAAATTTGTCATTTCGAACACACACACAGATCGAGGGATTTAAAATGCCGAGAAATAAACTAAAGAGTAGCAGTGCGCAACGTCTCCCCCGCTTTGATTCTTCCCATATTTGAAGTTGACCGATGACTGTTGCTGGATTCATCCGTTGCATGGCTAATAAATGTGGATGCGGAACACGAGAGTAGGCCGATGTGTGATCTCTCCTTCTTTTTTGACTTGGGAACGGAAATCCGCGGTGGAGAAGGTACGGGCCGTTGCTTGTTGCTTCCTCCCGTGTCGGCGGCAGAGAATTAATGAGTCATGGCGCCTCAGATCTTGTGCTCGAAAGCGGGACGACACGGCCATTTCCACATCCTAGTATGCACCGTCGGTGACGACACGGCGCCTGGCGTCGTCTTCGCCAACGGCGTGTACGGACCCCGACAATTGCTTCCACGATTTGGCGGGTGCGAACCCTCTCTTCCGGATCTCCCGCCAGTTCTTGACGGAGATGTGCAGATGATAGATGCCACGAACGACTGGGTGCGGTTTGCAGGCACCGTGAACTCATGCGACGTGATGGTGGTGCCATTGGCTAAGCGGGATGAGCGGGTGGTGACAATTCGTTTGGACGCAGAGCCAGAGATGGAATGGATGAGGCTGACGCACTTGCACTAGGACACGAGCGGAGAAGAGAGCACCCTCCGAAGTGTTCCGAGGACGGGGACGCGGGATCCAAGGCACATATCTTGAGCAGCAAATTGGCTAAAGCTCGACGGCGACTGCTTCAGCCGTTCCATTCCCTGTATAAATCAACTCCGAAACAGAGCCCAACAAAAGTCATCACAATATTTCTAACTCGACTTTTGGCTTAAATACGAAAGAAATGAATGAAAATTAAGCATATGATAGGTTAAAACATAACATACAATCTGAACAATTTTCTTTGACATTCTTGAATAAGCTCCATAATACCTCCGAGCGATAATGGAGGAGAATGATTACAGTTTTCACTAATAATTGGAGATCAAAATCCAAATCTAATGTGGAAAGAGCAGAACCAAACAAGACGTGATTCTCGGTTCCTTAGACGAGTGCAGGTTGTGATTCAGACTTGACGCTTAGAAAATTCACCACCAAAAACGATAGCACCGGCACCCGACCGCCATAAGCTCTGCCACCTTTTTCTCACTTGTTATAAGCTCTGCATTTTGCATGTCGATTCTTCCATTGCTTCTCCTCCTCCTGATAGACAGCTCAACGACACATGCAGGATGAAGTTGGCGAAGAAGTTCCGGCCACAGGTCGAGCCTCGCAGTTTCGGATCAGGACTAATCGTCGGATGCTTTCTGGTGTCAACGACATACGTTATGATGTCCAAAACTATGATAAGCATGGAGCATTTGTCTATCCGTGAGTTCTCCTCTCTGTACTCCAACATTGCTGTGGTCTAATTCTAGTTTTTCGTAACTCCGGTTGGGTTTTTACAGTGAATTGCCTGCCGTCCTCGTCATCGATAGATGTAACTCCTATGAGTTCTATGGTTGAAAAGAACAAAAGGATTCAACTATCAGGTAAGACCAAGCAGGCGATCATCTTTGTTCATTTGTTCTAGTGTCCTAGTTCTCGCTCACTTGAAAAAATGAAGCTGAACGCCTAATATTCCCTTCTTCTTCGATCGAAGAATATATTTGAAGTGAGCAACTATTGTGTTGCTGGAATAAAATGCTTGTTCGGTAAGCGATTCAGAACAAAAGGCAAGGTGTTATTCTGATTTTATACCGCGAGAAGGATACGTGGGTGTTCTGATAATATGGATTTGATACGATTTTTCATAGACGATGTTGTCTAATGTTCTTTTCTATTCTGCTATCCTCTTGCCGAAGAATATGAGAGTGCAACACGAGAGAGCAAGCCTACAAGAAGTGACGCTATCGAGATGCATGGCAATGCTTCCTCCGCAGAGTCAGCTTCCGAAGTTCCCTTTGAAGAAGATAATGTTTCCAGCACGAAGAACGGATCAGGTGATCAACCGTGCTATTTCATTTGTAATCCTGATTGGTTTATATAGTGTATATATATCAAATGACCAATAATGTAAAATGACGCTCTGTTCATTTACCCGACAGATGGCATGGAGGAGGAAGAGGGAATAAGCCGGCTGTGCGAATCGAGTTCGGGTAATTGCAAGCCGGAAAACGATAGGGAAGTGCTGGAGACACTAACTGCTGGTGATTCTAGCGAATCAGGTTCGCTTGTACTCGTTGCCTATTTGAGCTTGCCATTGTGAATTCTTCCAAGAGAAAAAAGACTGCATAGTCTAGTTTAATGGAAGCCATTAACTGCATTGTCTTCCAGATGGGGCGGCGCCTGAGAGGAAGCCCATGTGTGATTTTTCCGACCACAGATCAGACGTCTGCGATATGGAAGGTGACATAAGAGTCATCGGGAAGAATCTGTCCTCTGTAATGCTCGTTACCCCCTCTGATCATAAGGGCAGCAGAGACAGAAACGAGTCATGGCAGATCAGACCTTATCCTCGCAAGTTCGACGACTCAGCCATGGCTAAAGTCCGGGCTTTGGACTTGACATCACCGCATGGCGATCGAGAAGCCCCTCGATGCACTGTCAATCACGCTGTCCCCGGCATCCTGTTCTCGACCGGCGGACACAGCGGAAATTGCTTCCACGACTTCGCCGACGTGTTGATTCCCCTCTTCCAAACTGCCGGCCCGTTCCAAGGCCAGGTCCAGTTCATCATTGCCGATCGTCAAGGTTGGTGGATGCACAAGTACCGCCCATATCTAATGAAGCTGTCGTCGTATGATATAATCGATTACGACAATGACGACAGAGTGCATTGTTTCAAGCATGCTGTCGTTGGATTGAGAGCCGAAAGGGACCTGATGATCGATCCCGCCGGAGCCCCAGAAGGGTACTCCATCATGGACTTCGTGAGGCTCACGAGGAGCGCCTACTCGCTAGAGCGAGATCGCGCGTGGGCCGCGGCCGGGGAGCCGCCCGGCAAGAAGCCAAGGCTGCTGTTGATAGCGAGGGGCGGGACGAGAAGATTCATGAACTTGGAGGAGGTGGTGGGCATGGCGGAGGGGGTGGGGTACGAGGTGGTGGCGTCGGAGCCCGACTTCTTCGATGTGGGCAGGTTCGCACGGGTGGTGAACTCGTGCGATGTGATGGTGGGCGTGCACGGCGCAGGACTGACCAACTTCGTCTTCCTTCCCACCGACGCCATCGTGATCCAGGTGGTGCCACTGGGCAAATTGGATTGGATAGCGACCAACTTCTACGCGGAGCCTGCCATGGGAATGAAGCTGCGGTACTTGCAGTATGACATAAGCGTGGAGGAGAGCACCCTGAAGGAAGCGTACCCCAGAGACCACCAGGTGTTCAAGGACCCCGAGTCCATTCACAAGCAAGGCTGGTTCAAACTGAGGGACATCTACCTCAAACAACAAAACGTCGAGCTTGATGTGAACCGATTCAGGCCTGTCCTACGGAGGGCATTCGAGCTTCTCCGTGAAAAGAAGTACAGTTGAAGAACCGGGAGTTCTGTATATTGATTTAGTCCCATCGATTACGAACGACCACACGGATGACTCTATATATGCCATAGCAATCATTTTGCACTCATGAATGCCTTTCTGGGTGCTGTCACAGCAAATTACAGTGGGCCTCGTAGCGATGCCGCTTTTCCTTTCTGTTTTTGCACGACGTGTATACAGTAATACTACTACATAGTAAATGGCATGTCGCCATCCGCCCCCAAATCACTCAACCAGCCCATGGCGATAAGTTGCTGCTCTCTGTGAAGTCATGTAGAAAACGGACAAGTGTTTATGATATTTTACACAACACAAGCGTGAGACAGCATCCGATACGTACCTAATTTGTAAGTACAGCCATGTGCAGATGAACCCCTTCCCCGGGAAGGTGGCTGGCCGGGCGAGGTGGACAGGAGGAGGAAGGGAGAAGCTGCTGAAGATGATTGGGTGGCATAGGGAAGTAGCAAGCAGAGATCATTATCCAAACGTAGGAAGAGGAAGAATTGATAGAAATAATAGAAGATAAGAACAATAATTGAAGAAGTTTTATTGTAGAAATGAAATAGCTTTAGCTTAAATATATTAAGCTGTTCCCTCTCCTATAGGAGGAAGGATTTCCCTAACAGAATAGAGGATTTTCCTCAACAGAATGTTCCTCATATAGTTAGGAAAATATTATCTTATCATATAGTGAGAAAGATGAGGATTGACCACGGAGCCTCTTAGGAATGCAACTGCATTGGTCGCTAGCCGAAGGGTGAAGCTTCACTTTTCTCAGCGACGTTGGTCGCTAGCCGAAGGCAAGAGCGAAGCTTCGCTTTTCTCAACGACGTTGGTCGTGGTTGCGATTACGACGGCTGCGACGGTAGAGAAGAAATCTACAGCAATGTTGCAGTGATGCTACTACAGCAAAGGAGGAAACTGCAACAAAGGAGGAAGCTGTAGCAGAAGAGGAAGGAAAATAGCTACAACGAGGAAGAAAGGTGGGGCAGTGCTGATGAGCAGCACTAGAGATGCCGTAGCGAAAAGGAATGGACGTTGGCATAGCAACACCAATGATGAATTGGCAGCGGGAAGAGAGCTTGCTCTAGGCAAGTTGCTCTGATACCATGATAGAAATAATAGAAGATAAGTACACTAATTGAATTGAAGAAGCTTTATTATAGAAATGAAATAACTTTAGCTTAAATATATTAACATGTTCCCTCTCCTATTTATACAAATTAGGAGGAAGGATTTCCCTCAACAGAATAAACAGAATAGAGAGATTAGGAAAATCCTTCCTCCTAATTT